AAATGGGAACCCATCTCCCCCCCAACTAATGTTGCATTTTCAGATGAAATTCACATAACAATAAAATGTAAACATATAACTATCAAGAATGCGAGAACTGTGCTTCTATTAATATATATTCGAAGTTTAAGTGATCTCAAGGTCAATATAGTTCAAACAGTATAATATGTAAAATATAGGTAGAGCCACTTATTCTATTAGAGCAGAAGAGCAGAATTTGTTTTTTGTCTAAGCAGTAACAAATTCAGTTTTTAATTTGTGGGCTAATCTTGTTTTTAATTTATTTTAATAACGGTAATCAAGAGGTGGAGGACATCTTGAAAACGATGGGAATACGAAGATGGCAAATAGTCGTCCGGGATAATAGTCCGAGAGCCCATGAAAAAAACTATATTATTTGATGAAAATTCTAAACGTATTTTTTTTTTTAATATTTGTAACATTTGTATTAAAAAAAGGCTGCAAATTATTTCACATTGGGTTTACTATTTCCGAACAATTATACATCTAAAGTAACATTAACTTTCTAGTGACAAATTAAAAGAAAAAATCTGGTGCGCGCAACACACAACTTTCACTTACCGATCTACTTTGAATAGAAATTATTTTCTGGCAATGCTGGGCTATTATAAAAATTTTTGAAGTGCATTTTAAACGGAGCTAAAGCTTAAAGCTTACAGATAACAAGTCATTAAGACCATTATAATTAAAAAATGTCTATTTAATATATGGAAGACAGGCAATAAAAATCAATTCACTATATCTGATTTTATAACCCACAAAATGACTAACTCCAATTTCAACATTTTTGAGTGATGTCATTTTACTGATATTTTTACTTGAAAAAGTTATCTATGCAGACAATGAGTAAGTTGATTCCAGAAGTGGTGATAGCAGTGTTGTAATATAGAACTGAGACTAAAAGTATAAATTTAGGTACTACTTTCTTATGAAAGATGTTCTTAGGAAAGACACTTTATTAAATATCTGTAGAAAAAAGGTTTTTTTAGTCTCAACAATTAAAAAAATATATTTTAAATTTATCCAAATTTTCACCTCTTCAGGGAAAATAACTACAGACCATATCTTTCCTCCTAATTGTCGGATTTTAACGATTTTTTTAGAAAATTCCATAAACTTTTAAAAAACCATATACAATATCCACAAAAAAGCGTATACTTTTTGAGTTATTCGGAATTTAATTTTAACATCCCTCGTAACTTTTTTTGCAGCTTCTTTTCGTTGAACTATGTTGTATAGATAAATTTAAAGGGTATCGAGAAAATGACTTTAGCGAAGTTTCATTTAAATCGGTACATTCGTTTAGGCGCTACAGTCTGTAGGAACGCAGGTTTTTCTGTATTTTTATTTTTTTTCTCCTTTAATAATTTATCGAATACTTTCAAAAGTTATATGTAGCATTTTTTCGTAACTCTGAGTAATCCGAAATGGTTAACTTTTTAAAATAAACCATATTAAAGGTACTTTAGAGGAAGACGTATATGAACATTGGGCATTTAAGTCCTGTAAAGTGACAACAACGGGAATAAGACCTAAATGATATTAAAGACCACTTAATTATACAATGATACACCGAGTTTGATCAAAATCGTTTGAGTCGTTTTTGAGAAAATTGTAAAAATATGTTTCAGCGTTCATATAAAGTGGCACTTCCAGTTAGCCGATTTCAACGAAAAAGTTGCTGTCACATCCGGCCCATATACAAACCTTAAATACTCAATATCAGTTTCGTACTACTTTTCGTTTATGAGCTAGACTGTTAACACACACACACACACACACACACAGATCCTTTTGCGACACTTAGTTATTTGAACTCAGGAGACCTCAAAACATGTATTTCCGTTGAAAACTGAGATTCAAAAATTTTCACGATCGCAATACTTACCCTTACGTATATATTACATATATACGTAAGTGAAAGTAAAAAGAAGTTAATTCCGATTATTTCCCTAAACATTTTTTGTCATCATTAGTAATTTGTTAAAAAAATATATAAAAAAATAGCATTACTTCAGAAACACATTAAAAAATCAAAATCCAAAACAGAGGATTTGTAATAGAACATAAAAAACATCTAGAGACCCTTTGCTCGTAATTGTCCGATTTTAACAATTTTTTTTTTGTATTTTAGGAAATTTCGTAAAATTTAAAAAAAAAAACATGCTAGTTTTTGAATTTTTTATTCGATTAAAGTTGTTCATTATTAAAATAATAAACCAAAAATATTTAAAAATCGCGATGTCTTCACTAATAGTACTCTGATTTCGAGGAAACTTTCTTCGTTTTTTAAGAAATTTAAATACCTTTGAAGCATTTTATCTACAAAAAAGTGTATACTTTTTGAGTTATTCCGAATATAATTTTACCATCCCTTGTAACTTTTTTTCAGCTTCTTTTCGTTGAAGTATGCTATATAGATAAATTTAAAGTATCAAGAAGAAGACTTTGGCCAAGTTTTATAGAAATCGATACATTGGTTTGGGCGGTACAGTCTATAGCAACGCAGGTTTTTCGGCCGTCATTTTGAAAGAAAAAAGCGGATAATAATGTCGATGAAGAAGGATCATCCTCAGGTGATCTCTGATTTTAATTCCAAATTTAAATTTAAAAAAATCAGTCCACTAGTTTCGGAGAAAATGCGCGGACGGTGAACGGACAAAATCATTTTTATTCTTTTTTTCGAATTCTACGTCTCTTGAAACGTAGCACCTTAAATTTTGAGGTACTATTAAATTTTTGAATTTTTTGTTCGATTACAATGTTTCATTATTGAAAATAATAAATCAAATGAGAGTCTGGCAGTAGGATTTTGTAAAACTGGCGGCTGATGATCGAAACTTCGCAAATCATTACGAAAAATTTGGGAAACGTTTTTGTTTTTTTAACTTGTATAAGGTGTATTGGTAAAAAACAAATTTGCGAAAGCTGGCCACAAAGGGAAAACTTTTAATAGCCAAAAACGCCAGATTTTTTTTTCACTTATAACTCCTAAACGGTGCATCGAAGTGAAAAACGTACCCTTTAAAAATTAAAGAACGTTAAATTGTGCGTCGAACGAGTACCTAAACTTAACAATTCGGTCAAATAGTATGGTCGATATCCACGGCCAACGAACACTCATTTTTACCAAATCCGTCAAAACTGAGAAAATTTACTATTAATGGCGCTGCAGCTTGTAAAAGTGTTCTCTAAGAGAAAAAACAAAACTTGCGGACTATGGTGCCATTGAATGTAAAAGTAAATTGTATATTTGCAAAAATAATTAGCATCAAATAAATTTTTTTATATAACGGTCAACATCAGTAGAAGATAATCGCTGGATTGTATTTCCGAAACCACAAATTGTTCTGTCCATTCCTAGTATCAAAAGCAAGCAGACTATTCCCCCAGGAACTCTGTCTGTTACGCTTCAACCACGGGCGGATCTACGGGAGGGGGAGGGGGCATTCGGGCTGAAGCCCTCCCCAAAATGGAAAAATATAACTATGTTTTATGGGAAAATTTTTTTTAAAAAATACCTCTTAAAGTATTATTGTTCGTGTAATTACATTTAAAAGTACTTAAGGAATAACTTAAACACCATTTTATATAGGTAGTTAGTTTCTTTATGTTTTTCCAAAAGGTTTCGGGCTGAAGCCCCCCCAAAATTAAATCCTGGATCCGCTAGTGGCTTCAACATATAAATACTAAGTACCCGAAAGACTCGTGGATTCGAGTATATACGGACGGATCGACCACAAATACAACTACAAACGGTGGTGCCGGTATCCATTTACAATTTCCTGCGGGAAATGTTATTGAGAAGGCTGTTGCAACAGGCATCACTTCTTCGAATTATCGAGGAGAGCAAGAAGCTATCTGTGAGGCATCGAAACTAATAAGAATACTAAAGAACTAACAACTAAAATATTGTGTTCCTTACTGATACAGCGTCAGTATTACAATCACTCAGGTCGAAGTGGAGCAAAAGTCTGATAAAACTTGCCAAAGTTCTTGAAGATTGATATCCCTTGAAGAAAGTTGTTATGCAATGGATCCCTGGACACTGTGGTATCTATGGAAACGAAAGGGCAGACCAGCTGGCAAAGGAGGGGGCCTTGAGTCCGCAATTTGATTGTAAGATCAGCCTAGACGAGGCACTAGCGGATCCAGCATTTAATTTTGGGGGGAGGGGGGGCTTCAGCCCGAAACCATTTTTTTCATAAAAATAACGATAATTTCTTTAGAAAACAGAAAGAAACTAACTACCTATATGAAATGGTGTTGTAAGTTATTCCTTAAGTACTTTTAAATGTAATTACACGAACAATAATACTTTAAGAGGTATTTTTTAATTTTCTTTTCCCATAAAACATGGTTATATTTTTCCATTTTGGAGGGGACTTCAGCCCGAAAGCCCCCCCCCCCCGTAGATCCGCCCGTGAGACGAGGTAAAAACAATCAATAAAGCGATTATTAACCAACGTTGGCTCGGAAATTATCCACTTCACGACCCCAGAGATGCGATCTATGGACTAACTAGACGAGATGAGGTGTTGATCTTTCGCTTACGAACTGGACACAACAGGCTCAAAGCTCACCTATTCAGTAAGTTCAAAATTGGGTCTAGTCCCCTCTGCAAGTGCCGTGAGGGTGTACAAAATGTGTACGAACATATCCTACAAACATGCATGCCCTACTCCCAGCAAAGGAAGGTGATCTGCCCCTCTCCAACTGAATTAGAAAGGAAACTGGAAGGAATGAAGCCTGGAAGACCTGAAGAGGACTACCGAATTCTTCATTTTAATTCCTGACCTAGTCATATAAGGAAGAACGCAGAAGAAAAAGAAGAAGAATTCTTTAAGTGAGTATTCAATTATCCAGCGGCATCCCGGATATTCATATTATTTTAAAAATAAAAGTGAAATAAACATAGAAAATAATAATTAATATGTTAAACCAATTTGGCAACAATAACCAGTAATGTGTAAACCAACTTGGTAACATTTTCTGCACCACCTTGATCGATTATCCGAGATAGTTTTACACCTGAAGCAAACTTTTGGTTCGACATCTCCTTTGATAACGGGAATCGGGTGATAAGACTCGTCATCTGCGAAACCGTCAGTCGAATACAGCTTGTGTTCCCCACTTCCTCCAGAAATTCCCTGAAAAAATAATTATATTCACATAGTAGGAGATCTCTGAGTTTAAGAGATATACATAACAAAATGAATTATAATCAGAAAAACTAAAGATTCATAGATAAAAAAAAATGTCTTTAGGCTAACTTAGTTAATCTATTGTGCCATTATTTTCATCGTTCAAGATCATATTAGTTCACTATTATCATCATCAATAACTAATTCGATAATGGAACAGTAAACGTACATACGTGTAAATGGAATTCCGCGAGTGAATCGCTCGCTAAATCTTTGAAATGCCTTTTATTTCCCATTTCGGCCTAGATCTACATTTGCTGAATGCTTGAAATCTTGAATAACAGAGAATTTTGACTTTTTCTTCCCTAAATTTCGAGTTTTAAATAGTTTTTTTTTTTCAATCCATTGAACTTTGTAGTGTGTTACATGTGATATGGTGGTGAGTGTGATAGTGAGGTATATCATCATGTGATTGATAACGAGTTCACCCAAAAATTTTGATTGTAATTTAAATTTTGACGTTAATTATAAATATTTAAATTTCCACAAGACAATATTCTATGTTTTAGTTTTATATCACTCCTATTAATGGTTCACTTCATTGTTTTTAATTCAAAATTTCTGTCATAACATTTATAATCTCGTGAAAGTCCTTTTAAATTATCCACGCCAGGAAGTGTTAAGGCGCTGCAACGTGGTATTGCTCACTTTTTTTTTGCATTCTTAAAACGACGCCGATTTGTTCAAGTCTGTGCGAGTTTATTTTGAGGCGGACAAGTGCTATAAATCTCGACCTTATTTATTCATGTCCACCCTCCCATACTTTTAGCAAACTATGATATTAGGCACATAACATAATAACATACTACTGATATTATAACATGGCCAAGGCTGTGCACCTATCTAGCTTTTATTTTTTTCTATCTTCTTCCTTCTTTTTTTCATATGTTATTGTTTACTAAGCACTAGTTTCCAGAATATGAATATCTTACCGACATTTGACGTCTTCTTCTTTGGGCACCTTTAGGAAAGTGAGCGGGATCCACTTCCGTCATCCGCCCAATTTTGTATTCATTGAACAGCGAGAAGTTTTCTTCACTAACTGAGGAAACTCGCTTTCATTGAGGACGTATATTCCGAATTAAATTCTTCCATCTATTAGAATCATCTTATACCTATTAGAATCCTCACCTCCATAATCCTCGAGGTACTGTAGAGCTTACTCTCTTATGTAAATATTCTTTCACTTCTAGCAGTTAGAGGTCGAGGTGCACAACACCCGCTAGGAACTGCACAGCTTAATGCGAAGTACTTTGGTGACTCGAAGCAGAATTGTCCTTTGATAAATTTTAAACTTTCCACTCTGGCTAGAATAGATCTGGTGACCTGCAGTATAACCCGTCTCTCTTATCATTGTTGGAGCACATGAGGACGATAAGCTAGAAACTTCATCTTTTGACTTTATTGTTCCTTAAAACTATTACCAGGTTTAGCAAAAGTTCATAAAGTACTCTTAATATTCTATTCATGGTCCAACAAGGAGGCCTGCCAATACATTAGACATTGGATTATAATCAGGGACATTATAAGTGAAGGACTTAGCCCACATTCACGATCACTCTTTTCAGATTGTTTGCCACTTTTCAACATTTAGAATAAAACATTTCGTTTAATTTTCTTTTAAAATGGTACTGAGCTTTTTGGAAGTCAGAAATAACGATTATTTGTGGGTATGTTGAAGTCTGCTTCATTATGGCTTTGTAATGGCTCTATATTGCCAAAAATATGTTTGTTTCGCAGTCACGATCAAATGTGTCACTTGATTTGTTTCGAATTTGATGTACATATTTCATTAAAGTAAGGAGCCGGTTCGGTTAATGATTAAGGCACTGTGCTACTATTCATTTTGACATTTAAATTTATCATTATATTATTAAGTCGATATTACAAGAGAACAGCGTTAAAGAGATCTATAAAAAGGTACATTCGTGTTCAACAAATTTGCCTTGTGATTGGGATGAATGAATATAAAATATGTTAAGTTTTGGAAATTTATGAATACAAAATTTAGGTATTCGGAATGCGGTACTTAAAAGAAACATTTAATTAATAATGAGAAAATCTGGATATGATACATTACTTTTATTTTCAATCCTGTCCTAGCAGTTTCGGACTTCCTTCAGTGGGAGTCTTGGACACAAGAAAGGAAAAAAACCCAGCCCTGCCTTTCTCGCAATATGGCTATTTGTAGTTGTGGGATGTTATTTTTCATAGCAACCCACTGCTGCGTTTTTAAGCAATTTAAATTTTTTTTCTTATTAGTAGCGTACTTTCTTCTTTTAAATACATCTTTGGCCTCTTCAATCTTTCCAATTCCAATGGTCCCTTTGGCACAGCTTCATCTCTTGTTCATAGAGAGAAGTGGGTTTGTGAATTTCTTTCCACCTGTAATGCAAGTTAAGAAGAAGGCCATTAGTTGAAGTTGTTCTCTCTTCGTAAGGATATAGAGACCTGTCTCCCACAGCAGCTTCGCTCTGATTAAATCATAGGTGGTACCGGCTAATACAATATGCTCAGCGGTCTCCGGTATCCTCACAACTTCGGTATAGAGGATCTATGTTTATACCAAACAACGAGCTTTGCTCGGAATTCCGCAATCTGACGGTAAGAAAGTACTTTCTCAAGGTTGCCCCTTTTGAATTCGTCAACAACCGCCAATTTCACACTTCTCCTGTATCCTCCTGGAGAATCCTTTGCCAGCTCCTGGAATCTTCTCCTGCTCTCACTCGAAGGTACTCCGCTAGATCCGCTAGGCATTTTTTCTTAATCTTGTACCAGTATTATCCTTCTCTCAATAGGAAGTTAAGAGGTATTCCTCCAGCCAAGACCTCATCAGACACTGTTCTGTATGATCTGGTGACTCACAGCAAAGCCATCCCCATAATAGTTGAAAACCTACATTTTTGTCTATACGAGAGATTTTGCCTCCAAGCAGAAGATACATACCTCCGGATACTCACAATAACATTTTTATAAATACTCATAGTTGCTGAAGCACCTAAGGTCTCCCCTCTCCCTTCCCCCTCCGATACGACTGAGTCTTAATGGCTTTACATTACATTATTTATGTCAATAAATGAGGTTGGAAAAAAAGGGAAGCCGAGATATCCTACCTAATCTAGCTTCCACCATACTCACTGCTCCTATCATGGCAGCTCCGTATCAACAGAGGACCCTTGCTAACTAAACTAGTCACCTAAGCGATACTAGTTCGAATCCGATCCGAATGGATTGTGAGTAATTTTATGGTTGAATCACGAAGATAATCTCGACCTTCGCCATCTTGCTTGGAGTCCTTGGTTACCTATAGAAATAATCCTTCCTGTCCCAGTCGAGGCTCATAAGAATGTTATAGCCAGATATCAATAGAAAATTAACAATCAGGATGAAATAAAAAGAATTGATTCAGGAATGGAGTTGCTCAGAAGGGAGTCGCATGGTGCAAGTCTCGCCATCAAAGTGTTTGAAGGCCTTACATTATTGTGAGGGTTCGATTTGAAGAAACTTCCAAACCAGGGAACAAGGAGAAAACGTGTAGTTGTTCACGATCTATAATTTTTATAACTTTAGTTATGCTTAGCTCCACTTCTGATTTCTTGCGATTTCCATACTGGCCAAAGCTGCGAGAATGCTTTTCGGGCTTTTCTTATAGGACTCCCAACATCTTTATCAGCCCCTCCATTCTGGCTCGCCATAATCCCGAGTAGCAGAACTTAGTAAGACTTTCAATTATTTGAACTTCTATAATAAGATTTTCCTGGTTCCTACTATTCATTCGCATCTCTTTCGTTTCAATAGTATTTATTTTGAGGCTAGCTCTTTGAGCTTCCTCCTGGAGTTCATTTAGCTTCTCCTGCATATTCCTGAAACTTTGAGCGAAATAACATAAGTCACTTGCAGCGTCCAGATCTTCAAGTCTTTTCGTGACTGAAGTCCTCGTCCTCTACGAAGAGTTCTTCTTAAAATTATATCGAGAACTATCAAGAATAAGATAGAAGCGAGAACACATCTCTGTCTAATACCAGTTCCAATATTAATGGGCTCCGACACTCTGCCAGAGTAATCGATAACTTCATAGGGGAAACCCTACAAAAATATGGTTCTCTCCAAAACTTCATAACCCTGTAAAAATGTCCCCATCTGAAACATTCGAAACTCTGCAAAAATGTACCTTCCTCAAAACTTTTCATGGCAAAATTTGCGCCATGCAATCCTCTTCTGGATATCCCTAATCAAGCATCCCCCCGATCAGGATATCCCCCGAAGCAATCGCCGATATATCGAATAAAATAATGTGACAGAAAATAATTCCACTAAAATTCTAAACTATAGTGGACAAACCATGTCATTTAACCCTGATGTGGCAAACCTCCAGAACAAACCTGTTTAGCCGAGGTTCATATGAAAGAGATTTGTCATTATTATTTTTGTCTGTTTGATCATCCAGTACTTCGACAATTATTGAGGAAAAAAAAAAAAAGTGCTCTACATAAAATCATTCTTCAATACTCCTCTTTTCTTTCTAATTGATTTATTTTTTCTAATAGAGATTCCATAGCTTAAAAAAAATATTGATAAAAAAATCAAATCGAAATAAAATTTCAGTTTCTATAGAAACAGGACAAAATAGATAAGAACAATTCAGATTTTACAGGATTTCCGGGCAAGTCTTCCCTAGTGTCTCTCCTTAATTATAAAACGAAGTTTCCTTAGTTATATTTCTATCAACTTGATGTTATGTCTACAAATAATTAATATATTTTTCAAGCGTGTGATCACGTTAAGTTAAACATTAAGAAATAAAAAGACTTTTTAAAATTATCCGAGGATGTATTTTCTGTAATAGTACTTATTCTTTCCCATAAAAAAAAATAATAACTTAAACTTGCTTGATGTGCGATTAAATAAAGAAAGAAAAATCTACATTAATAAAGTACTTAAAGTTTGTAGTTTTATTCTTAATGAAAGATAATTTGTCATTAATTTTACCAAGTAAACTTTCCTTAAAAATAAATCTTACCGTATCGATTTAAATTATTTTAATACAAAATTAAGGTTTAAAAAGAAGCATTTCATTGTATTAGGTTTTATTAATATTTGTTTTTAAATTAAGATAGAAAATTTTGTTATTTTTTTCAATCATAACCTCAGAAACTGTTGACATTCAGCAGGTGTTCATTTCGACACATATGTTTTTTAATTAATATCAATTAATCTGTAACAAGTATTTATTAGTTGAATGCATTAAATAGTTGGTGCACCGTTTAGTCTAATTTTTTTATCGAATTTAATACCCAAAAAAATTGCCTTAATCTGTATTAAATAGAATTAGAATATAAAATGTACAATAATATATGCCCATATTGTCATTGTGACGAACAATCAAGGATCATTTGCCCAGGCAACGATTTCAGCCACCTTTGGTTCATTGTTCATTTGTGCCAGGCTTTAAAGCTGTCATTTTTATATCATTTTATGCTCAAATAGACTTTAAATCGTTAAAAAAAATATTGGGGGAAGTGTTATCAAACAATTTTAATTAGTTATTTTCAGTATTAACTGAAATTATAGAAGTTTGTTATAAGAGTCTACTTTTTTGAATTCATATTTTTAAGCCGCCACTAGGTCACAGGATGTAAGTTTGTACAACTTTAATATAATTTAAGATTAGGATATGAATTTCATTCTTGTTTTTTTTTTTTTTTTTCAAATGCTTGTCTCACTTAAGGTTCTATTAAACATTAAATTTATACTTAAGTACTTACTGTGTTTAGAACAGACCAGTCTTAATTATTTCGTTTTTCTTTCTCAAGTCAGATATTTATACGAAGATTTTACAAATTTTTTTTTGACACAATTTATAAATGATAACCTTTTAATTTATAATTTGGGAGGGATTTACTTTAATCAATTTAAGATAAATAAAATAAAAACACATTGGGTATACGATGGTATATCAGCCGGTGGTGGTTTTACAAAAGTATATTAAACTTATTATATAAAAAATATAATTCTTCATTGCAGGAACGATCTAGTACCAAAAAGAAAACGAGGAAGACCACCAAAAATTCCAAGGGATACGACTTCTTTACCCATTGAATTTCCATCTTCTCATTTGGCGGAATCCAATGCTAGACAACTTCAATTTGGATATAAGTAAAAAAAAAAAAAATCATTTAAAACTAAGGAAATATTCACTCGTTATTTCGTATATTATTAATAATCTTTTATTTTCAGAATACTGCAGAACATTTTGAAATTGTCCAAAACCAAGCATCTAGTTGATAGACCAGATGAAAACCTTTTTGGCATACACAATTATTATAACATCATAACAAAACCTATTTGGTTAAATGAAGGTTAATTAACTGTTAATTTTTTATTATTATTTTTTTTTACTTTATCTTATATCTATCTGACATGTTTGTTATTGAATTTAATGTTCAGTTTTAAGGAAGTTTTCTGCTCAAGAATATCTTTTTGTCCATGAAGTTATTAGTGACATCAGACAAGTTTTAGAAAACTGTTACAAGTTTTGGGGTCCCAAGCATAAGTTTTCAAAACAAGCTTTTCGGATTGAAAAACTACTCGATAAGGAACTTCAAGCTGCGCCACAGTAAGATATTTCATACTACCACAAAATCTGAATTCCAAATAAATTAAATTATCATAATTACCGATCTGTAATTATTTTGCAGATGTATCAGAGATGCCTGTAAATTGAATATTCCCGAAGATGAAAATGTTATGTCAGATTCTAATTCCTCACCGTTCTTTGTTGATGGTATTTTTTTTTTTGTTTTATATTACGTGTAACTATTGTTTGTCTCTCTTATATGTTGTTTATTGAGCATGACAGTGTTTCAGCGAATCATTGAACCATTACTTCTTTTGTTTTTATTCACTTAACAACTTGTAAAAAAAAAATTGTCATGTCTAGTTGACAGGTGGGCCAAGATCACATCGTAGTATTAGAATAAATGATATAAGGTGAATGGAAAAGGATCCATTGTTGGTGTATTGGTTTCGTGAGCGAGGACAGCAAGCTCATATATGAATATAGTTGCCAACTCTGTTACTTTTGTAGTATCATCTGCAGCAGAGGTCTCCAAACTTTTAAAAAAATAAAAATTCAAATTCAAGTTCTTCGAATGACACGACAGTTATGAAATGAGCTTTCTAAGACTTACAAATCAGGCAATAACAAATGTTTTAATAACCTTGTTTTGAGTTGTTTTCAAAATTTCATATTTTTAAAATAATTTTTAATTTTATCATGCAATCAAAGAAACTTTCGTGGGCCAGATTGGAGGTACTTGAGGGCCATAGTTTGGAGACTCCTGATCTATACTATATCAGTGTAATCTTGAACCACCTATCATCCAGACTTAAAATGTTCTTTCAAATGTTTCAAGTATAGTTCTAACAATATTATATTTTGATTTCTAATTATATTTTGGTTATTTAATCTTTTTTCGTTGACCTTAACTTTACTGAAATTTTAAAATGAGCATTACTTTTTTCACCAGATTTTCATTCGAAAATTCTCAAATTGCTCGAGAAAAAAGAAAAAGAAAGTGTTTCTGAAACAAAAGAGTGTGATGATGGAAAAAAGGAGCTGCTGCTTAAGTGGGAATCAGAGATCCTCGTGACTAAACAATACAGAAAACAATTTATATTTATGGGAGAGGTTTGTATTTTATTAAAAATATTTATAAACATAAATATGTTAAGCAAAAAAACATTTTTTTTCAAAATTATTAGTTATGGATCTGAAGTGTGTCTATAGGTGTATTACCTCCAATTTTAGAGCTGGCCTCAAAATTTGAAAGGAATGTTTGAATAATCATAGATTCATTTTATTATTTGGTTTTTAAACTTATATTTTAATACAGTATATTATATTCATTTACAGCTAGCAGAAATCGGACATTTTCTTTCTCTTAGTCGTGAAGTGCTTTGCCTCAAAGAAATTAGCCAGTATGAAGTCGAACGAATGCTTCTATTCCCGAAGGAATCGGCCTCTCTTGCTAATGTGATGACGGCTTTATTGTGGTATAGATAATTTTTAATAACGTCTTACCATTCTCTTAATTTGTGTAATGCAATATTTCAATTCATTTATATAACTTCTTTGTTTTTCATTATATTCTATGTTTATTTTATTTTCTTTGAACATAGTATGACATCAAGTTATAGTAACTACCACATCCTATTTATTTTATTTTACTACTTACTTCTCTGATTTATTTATATTACTTTATTTTTGAAATTAACAAGGTTTAATTTACTATAGTTGGGGATTTTTGTAAATTAAGTTAGTGGTTATTAACATTCAGACAAAAATAAGAAATATTAAAACAAATGTTTATATTAGTTTTCTTTGTGGTTGTTTTATTTATTATATGCTTTATTGTTCGACCATAATTGGTTGGCAATCTGAGGGCGAACTCATAATCAAAGTTGAAACACATTTTGTCTTTTTTCACTTATTCTCATTTCAGACATTTCTTATGAAATATTTAAATAAATTGTAATATGTCTCTTATATTTTACAAATAATAATAATATAACCTCTGAATATCACTTTATCCGTTAGGATACTTTTATTTTAAAATAAAGTCTTTTTTTTTTTTTTTTTATTTAATGGAATTTACAACTGTATACAAATACAACAAGTAAATATGCGCAAATATAAATAATGGCATGTACAGGCTTGAAGAGTTACTACCCAGTGGTAGCACTCTCTAAATAATTTTAAGTAAGAAGATCACGAGGCCATCTCCTTTTCAGACGCCTAGGAAGATTATCAGGAATCGAGAAAGAAGCAAGAGTGGAAACAAGCGGATTTGGATGGGACTGAAGTTTATCATGAAAGGATAGATATCTGGCTCGAGCTAAATCAGCGACATATGGTACATTAAGGTCTTTATGAATGGTTTTATTTGTGACAAAGTATGGAGCATTAAGGATTTTACGGAGGATTTTGGATTGTAAGGATTGGATACGATAGGAATTCGATGGTTTGGTGGAGCCCCAAAGCTCAAAAATAAAGTCAAATATGGATTGGCAAGCTAACCTTTTTCTATATTATATGTTTCTTCCTTTGTGACATTGAACTCATTTGCCTTCAAACACTTTCCAAAGTTCTGCCAAACAACTCTTCCAAATTGGTAACACTATTACTGGGTTTATCTCACTGGAACCAGGATCTCTTCTCCTATCCTCTCTTCACTGCAGTCACACAACAACTCTTGCCAAAACCATAAGCTTTGTCCTTCTCCTCTTGGGAAACTACAGAGCAGCCATTTTCTTTTCCCTGCACTAGTAGAACTAGATTAGCTCGCCTTTTAATTGTTCAACATTAATTTATTAAATCATTGTTATCCACTTCCAATGAAGGTGTATATTACAAAATATTTTGTAAATAATATTTGAGAGTTAGAGTAAAAACAAAATGTGACTATCAACTTTGTGGCACATTAGTTCATCCTTCAGCTGACAACTACGATTGAACTATATTATACAGTTAAACAATATAATTTAGCTAAAGCAGTTTAAGTGCAAAGAATGATTAATATATCAAGATTATATTTTAAAAATTCTACAAATTGATGATTTAATTTAATTATAACTTTTTATCTTATTTCAGCCCAAGTGCCATGCGAGGGAATCTTTATTTTAAACCTGTTATGGTCTATGAGGTGTGGTCAAAGATTTTGGCTCGTAAAGTGGACACTTGGTACAATCATTATTATAAAAATAGTAATAAAACACAGGTAAACATACAAAATTTATATAATTTTTAAACATTAGCCAGCATTTTTGATTAATTAACTTCGTAATGTTAACTCATTTTATATAAATGAGGTACTTACCTGCTATACTATTTATGTCGAGTGGTAGTGCCTATATTGGTATATTATTTATTATTCTCTAAACATTGAAGATTTTATTTACACTTTTATTTTATAGATTTAGAAGTAAATTAATGATTTTTCATTTCCCTAGCTCTTTGTTAGGCATGGCATTGAATCAAGCTTCTGGGAAGTCGTCGGTGGTACTAACCCTCTGATTAATTCTGAATTCTGTTTAATTTCATTTACCAAAAGAGTTTGGATTATGAAGACACTTTGCACAACAATGTTTGTGAGTTGAATTTAGTTTTAGTTTTTTTTATGTGTATCTTAATTAGTTATAATCAAAAATGGTACAACATATTGTTATGTTACATTTTCCTTTTGAAAAGTAAACAAAACAATTTCTGAATCAAATTGTATTTATTTTGCACACAATTATTTCTCAGGTTGGGTTAAGACAACAAACACCACACATTCCTCAATTATAAATATAAAATCATACATTCTGTATTGTTGTATTCAACTTCTGTGTTGTTTGTATTGTTGTATTCAACTTCTGTATTGTATTCAACTTCTAAAATCTTATATTTTCTCTTATTGACACTCACTACTTGTTAATCACTTTTTCTTTTCTCGATCCTCTTTATTAGCCGGCTGGCTATCTTCTGCCTAACATACGGCTCTTGCTTCCCCTTCCATCTCTCTTTCTCCGTTTTTTTGTCCATTTTTGACAGTAATTTGTGATGCCACTGTCTTCGCACCACTATTAAAAATCACTATGCAATATTTACATTATAATATTTAACCAATTGGTGTTAATAAAATTAAATGTCACTCAGAAGTTAATAATAAATTTAACTATGTATAGTATTACCTCTATAACTTAATTTTATTTTATTTTATAGCACTCCTATAAGAAGATTGAAGAATATTTTAACTCAGTCGATGACAGTTCTCTACGAGGCCCTGTTGTATACGAAGATGGCAAGTTTGAATACATTGGCCTGTTTCAACCTGAAATCCGAGTATATAGGATCTGTCGTTCGGAAATGGATATTGTAAGGCTTTGCATCATCATTATAATTTTTTAGTTAGTTGAAATATTATAAATTTGAATCACATTTTAATTTTTAAATGTTAACTGGGCTACCACATTACATTTTAATTTTAATTTACATTACATTTTTTTACCCCCATACCAGACTGAAACGACTAGAAACCACTCGACGTTTTCGACTACTGCAGCACTTACTAGACAAACGCTCTAAGCTTTCAATCAATTACAAACGACTCATATATATGACAATAATAAGACCTATTTGGACTTACGGAATTGAGCTTTGGGGCTCCACTAAACCATCGAATTCCTCTCGTATCCAATCCTTACAATCCAAAATCCTTCGTAAAATCCTCAACGCTCCTTACTTTTTCACAAATAAATTCATCCATAAAGACCTTAATGTTCCATATGTTTCCGATTTGGCCCAATCCAGATACCTATCCTTCCATAACAAACTTCAGAACCATCCGAATCCTCTCGTTTTAAACCTTGCTTCCTTCCTCGATCCCTGACAACCCTCCAAGGTATCTGAAAAGAAGATGGCCTTGGGACCTTCTAATATAGAACTTTAATTTGAGTTCTACCAATGGGTAGTTTCTCTTCATGTAGTACATGTCATATGTCATGTTACCAATGTCACATTTACTTATTGTATTTTCTATGTAATGCAGTTGTAAATTTCATTAAAATAAAAAAATTACATTTTACATTCTAATTTGGCTACCTGATGGAAGGTAAAAATGAATAATCGAAAAGCGTATTCATTATCTTTACATTAAACCATAGAACATGCCCACAGGTATACTATAACAGCGTCGCTATACCCATATCTGAAGAGAATTCATCACATGGAGGATCCATTCTACACTGTAGACAAACCAACTGAACAAATGCTATGGATTGTTATCCAGGTTACTTGACAGACGCTCCGAATTATCCTTAACTAACAAACTTAACATCTACAAGTTTTTTTAAAACAATTAAGGAATAGAGCTATAGAGTGCTGCAAAAACCTCTAACATCCTTAAATTTCTAACTTTTCAATTAAAAATTTTGAAAAAAATAACAGATGCACCGTTCTATGTGACAAACAACTTGCTACGTAAAGACTTGGACATTTAAACAGTTTGAGATACTTCAAAACAGTACTATAAAAACTTTGACCACAACCCGTAGATTCCACCCTGATGACTTGAGGCGGTGGCCCAGATATTTTCTCACTTAAAACGTAAATTGCCTAACAAATATGTAATGTGCATGTTGCAAAAACTTTGCAGATGGCAAATTTTCAAACCTGCCTATTGTTCTTGTTTAATGAATAAATTATTTTTAAATTAAATGAACTATTGGGAAATAAATTAATCTGGCATGGAAAAATAATTTTTTTTCTTCCTGTTAGCTTAACCAGCCTTCTTCATCTCAGCCTATTTTGGGCTATTGCTTTCAGTTATCTGCACGCAGCTCTATTACATCTTTGTTTATTATATTTATTAATCTGCTTTTTGGCCTTTCACTCGGTCTTTTACCTACGATTGAAGCATTCAATGTTGTGTAGAGGCTACCAGATGAATTACTCTGAGCCCATCTTAACCTGCTTGCCTTCATATCATGTGATATTGATTGACCAGTTTCTAGAAGCAGCTCTTTATTGTTCTTTCTCCTTCATTCGTTAGTATTCTGACCCCAGATCGCTCCAGTGATCGTGTGGAGGATTTTTCTCTCAAATTTTCCAATACTTCTTTCTATGCTGGTTAGGGTCCAGAGATCTTGCAGCAGTACATGAGGCCTTTAATTTACCATAGCATCGTACACCCTTAATTTGAGATTTTCAGGGATTTCAATACCTTTGAAAAAAAGAAGGCTTTTTTGCACTTGTTACACGCTAGTCTATTTCTGACTGTTGGTCATTCATTGAGGTTATTATGGAGCCAAGGCATTTGGATTTGTCGAGTCAGCAATGATTTCCTTTCTATGCAGATCCTGTTATTGGAGTGGCATTTTCAGCTTATTATTATATATTTTGTTTTTATTCTCATTTACTTGTAGGCCGATTTGCTCTGCTTCTCTTATAGGGTCTTAGCGAGTTTCTCAATGTCCTCTTGATTCTTCCAAGGACTGTTATAACATCTGAATTTTTTTTACTTATATTGACTGAGATAATAAGTTTTGTTAAGTTTGGCTGATATGACTTTATGAATTTTTTAAACAGGATGGAAGAGGCGAATTTGTAGCCATTGTACCGATGAAAAATGGCTTACCTCCAGAACTCGTAGGCCAAACTCAGGTAACACTCAAAAGCCTCGGGAAAAAGAACAAATTCTATTTGGCAGCATATGACAGGGAGTCATTGGAAGGTCTAATTAAAGTTTTTTCACAAAAGAAGAAATCGCTTTCGGCAATGAAGCGCCTACTGGCTAATGAAAATAATGAATTTGTCAAAATTTCAGCTCTTACTTCGATGAAACAGCAATGGGAAAAAAATAAAGAAAGGTAATTAAAAAAAAAAAATAATACTTAAATTGAACAATAACTTTGTTGCTCATTTAGCCATATGTTATTGTTATTAATCTTAGCATTTAAACATGACTAAATCATATTTAACTATTCCTCAGATATTATTGTTAACATATTTAGTGCTGGTACAAAGTATTTATTATTTTTTTTTTCTAAAATATAGGTCACCAATCGTTATCAACAATTCTGTAAAATATTGGATCGAAAAGGATCTGTCTCCTCCATTATCACCTGGCGAAACATCTCAAAATCATTTGATCCTCAACAATGAGAAAATTCCAAATGATCTATCCTGTTTAGGTAATCCTGATTGCTTAACAATTTTTTTTTTTAATTATTCAAACTATTATGTATATTTTAAATTTTCTAGGAAGACTTTTCCATTGATTTACATTCGTTGGCAAACTAGACTTCCTTCATAAATATATTTTATTAGTAAATAGGTTTTTTTTTTCTAAATTATTATGTTTTTAGGCAAGCGAGTTTTGAAAAAGAAGTTTTTCTTGGATGATTGGGAGAATTCTTCGGATTCCTCGATAGAGTTTAATGCCGAAGAAGATGCTTCCGATTGGGAAGAAGGAAATATTAGAAGAAGCAAGAGGAAGAAGTGCAGGTGGTCCAAATGGCAAAGGGACGAGTTTCCTCCATTCCCGAGGTAAATCAAGTATGAAAATAAATAAAATTTTAAATTCAGGATATTAGGAGGTTCCAAAAAATATTCTATTACATAAATACAGAGCTCATATATATATATAGCACACATCTCACATTAATAATCTAATAAAGTCTAACTAAATAAAGAGAGCGATGTCAAGCAGAACTTACAAGGATCAGTCAATCAGGGATGACAGTCCTAAGATGAAGAAGAATGGCTTCAATCGTTATTGACCCTAGACATATCATATCAGTCAGAATAGCATCATTTTATCCCTATTGACGATGTGATTCCAGGTAGTATGCATCTGGTGCATTGTCTACTAATAATTTGTTTAATTGAAAAAATGCTTGTTTAGACATCATCCTAGTATTGGACATCAGGAGAAAAGTGGAGCTATAATAATTACTTCCTAATATAATGAAAATCATTTCGATAAAAGTTAGAAAAATATTAAATTAACTCAATTACAAAAACGTTGAAAATTATTTAACAATGGTTTATCATCCAAACACTTCCAAAAATCAAAAACAAAAACAAAGAACATGACCTTTGCAGTTGAACATATGAAAAATATCTAGAAACCATATCTTTTCGTCAAATTTTTGGACGTCAAGATTTTTTTTTTCTTTAGTAAATTTCGTAAATTTTCAAAAGTGTATACTTTTTGAATTATTTGGAAATCTTATTTTAACAACCTTCGTAATTTTTTTTCCAGCTTATTTTGTTTGAAGTATGTTTTATAGATAAATTTAAAGGGCTTCAAGAAGAAGACTTTAGCAAAGTTTCATTGAAATCGGAACATTCGTTTAGAAAAGTACATCATACATTGGTACATCCATCTTGAAAAGAAAATGTGGATAGTAATGTCAATGTAGTAGGATTCTCCTCTGCTGACCTTTGGCTTTAAATCAAAATTAAAAAAAAACTGGTCCAGTAGTCTTGGAGAAAATTTGTGGACAACGGACGGATAAACAAATTTTTATTCGATTTTCAAATTTTATGTATCCTGAAACGTAAAATTAAGTTTTTGAATTTTTGGTTGATTAAAATGTTTCATTATTGAAAATAAACCAAAATTAAAGGGATAATATTTCTGAAATAATAAATGTTTGAGAGAAAAAAAAGAAGAGAAATTTCATTCACAAGAGAGTTAAGGTTTAATTTTTTTTTATAACTAAAATGTTAACAATTTTTTTTTTTATCAACTTCCCTACCTTGCCATTCTGACATATGGGGGATTGTTCTATTGGTATTAACCAAACCTATTTTTGAACCAGCTAAAATTTGAATGGTCTTCCATATTTTTTTATTATTTTAAATTAGTTTATACACATATAATCATATGAAAAACAGTTTGTTTTAGAGCTATTTTTTAATGAATATTAGGTATATAGGTTGGTTATGAGACCAAGGTATATTAACCAAGTAGTTAGGTTAGTCTCCCCTCAATCTTTATACCTCTTCTATTTCTTGTGATTGAAGCTTGTGTTACAGTATCAATTAAAATGTCAATCATGCCTCGGAATATCAATCTAACTGACCATGTAGTGTCGATTTTAGACTATATCATTTCAAGACACTTATACTACATTATTATCTTTGACCTGCAATTATGTGATCCTTGTTTATTTATTTTTTTATTCCTAATTATGTCTACATTAACAGAATATTGACTATCAGCTATTTAATATTATTTGAGAGACTTCAGAGAGCAGACCCTAAAATGTTAATATCATGAAGAACCCTACACATGTATCAGTCAGACTGACATTATTTTTACATTCTGCTAGAGCTTGCACAAGAAAAAGAGGAATGGAGGTGACGAAGACCCGTACCGGATTGCAGTGCCTGTGATGATAATGATGATGATGGCATTCGGCTACTCTTCCCCCGAAACCCAATTTTTTTTGGAAATCCATCTATCTTTACACAATTGATCAGAATATCAATCTTCTGCCTACATCATTCTAGCTTACCTAGTAGTTTCTACATTTAAGGCTGTTTTCAAGTTTGACATTATTATTATTATATAACAAACAATTAATGTTTTTAATTTGTATAAAATAAATAACAATTTTCATTTTTTTAAAATTAATTAAATAATCTATTTAACATTTAGTTTCAGTACTCCTAGACCTCTCTCCCAGCCACCGATTCCTCTGGTTTCGCCAAAAATGGATAAACCGTTGATGATAGCCCCAGTTCTTCCTAACCCAGGCATGAGAACTCCGCCACATAATCTGCTACCATTGATGCTTCGTCAGCAGCCAATTTTCTCACAACAACCTGTCGTAAGATCACCGTTCGTTCCTCCTGTTAGCACTTACCGATCATTCAGGGCCTCTCTGCCATTGTCCAGAGCACCATCTTACAGGTATAATTCATCAATTTAAAAGGTATCTTATATTAATGGTCTATTTTGTTTGAAAAATTAAGGTTTCGGCTGATTAACAGTTCATGTAGATTTTATTTTAATTTACAGGATATCAATAAAAGTTGTTCTGCACTTAGGTCAGAACATCCTTTTTAGCTTCATAGTAATGACTGTTATTCTGTTAAAGACTGCCATTTTGGCCGACAGCTGAGTCAAAATTTTGCTATTTATTTGAAGAGAACTTTTAGTCATTAAAATAAAAACAATATCCTGTACCACTACAACCCATAAAGGTTCTTGGGTTCAGCAATATTAGGGAAAAGTACTGTTTCTTGGTCAACAGTTGTACAAGGAGATGATTTGATCAAGATCACTCTTAACCGCCAGGTTTTCCCCCTCATTTTAGTCTCGATTTCCCTCTCAAACTTCAAAATAGTGAGGGGTTATATTCCTCGGCTTTTTGGGCTAGTTATAGTTGAAGGATAAGATTTAAGCATGTCCAAGCCTTCTTTTCCTATAATTTGTAAACTTCACTCTAATTCCTTCTTAAATTATTTTTGTTCTGACTGATGGATAATGTCATTTTTCAACATTGTTATCACTGAACAAACTAAAATTGAATTTTTTCAGTGAATTTTTGTTCTATCCATTTTATTAATGAAACCATACCTTTATGTACGAACATACTATAACTAATAGTGTATACTGTACTTGGAATTGTTTAGTTCATGATTTCTTTTGTTATCATGAATAGGCAAAATATGCAAATTTAAATCTCTTCTGTATTCATTGATGATCAAAACTCATTTATATAAAACCCACGAATGTTGAGGGATTAATGTTTCAGAAATGGCTTCTTCCCAAGATTTTATTCTCAAACAAAAAATTAGATCTTGAAATATAGGTAATTGTGTAACCAATGAAAAGGTGGGAAAACTATACTGTCCTTTCTTGTCAGACATTTTTAGTTTGTTTGCTATTTTGCCAATGTTCTTTTTTCATATCTTAAGGTTTCATTTTATCTTTCTTGTTAATTATATATATTTTTAATGTATTATGATAATATAGTTCTAATTTTAATTCTGTATAATTATAAGTTTTAAAGATTTTTCTTTACATTGTTCTTTTTATATTACACAGAATGTCTCATTTGTAAAGACCAAACTAAGGGAAGTGATTCTAAACAAAATTTCTAACAAAAAGTTTGTTTGATTCATTGATCGATTCCGAATGAAAAGGAGTTAAGACTTATTTTATGTTTTTCTTAAGATGGTCTCGTTTTTTATTGAATAAGAATGAATCGCTCAAAAACTGTTCAAGATAATTAAATTCTAAGTAGACCATTGTTAAGTAAATAAAATTTTCTTTGAGAAAACAATGATTAAATTAATGAATAAAATAATAAATCTTTTAATATTCTATCCTCAACCCTATGGAACTCCATCCCTCCCCTTGTCAATCCAAAACCCTTCCTACCTTTAAATCCCGACTGTTTAATCATTCCTTATCCATCCAGCCGTCATAAAATTGTGAATAGTTACTACTGAAAATATGTATATAAATTATTAGATCGTTTTTCATTATTTTTACTTCATGTTTATTTTCATTTTTTTATTTTTTATTATTAACTGATTTATTTAAATTAGAAAGTAACTTATAATTTCTTTTATTATTTTTTTATATTGGCTATTTAATCAAACTATATTCTTGTTTATGTATCTCTGAGGCTCCTTAGCCCAAATTTTTGTCTTTCTGTATTATTCTAAAGGGGCTCGTCCCAGGATGAATTAAGCATTATTATAATTATTAAATTTACTAAGGTCTATGATTAAATGGATTTTCAGGAGGTCTGATATGGACATTGTACTGCTGCGTACGAATCATGCTGCTTGTGTATGAGTACTGTAACTGCAGCAATACAACGGCCGTATTAGACTTCCTGAAAGTCTCTTTTATCATAGACCTTAGTAAATTTAATCACTGTTTCCTCATATAATATTTTGTCTACTTTATGATGGTGTACTTGAACTTTAACTATCTTGAATAGTTTTTGAGCAATTCATTCTTATTCAATAAAAATAAGATCACCTTAAGAAAGACACAAAATTGTTTCCTGATTGGAATCGGCTCATGCATCAAATGAACTTTTTTGTTGGAAAATTTTGCCTGGAATCATCCCGCAGAGTTTGGCCATTAAGAACTGAGATACCCTGTATATAAAATCTAAATATTCTTTCCAGCTTCAAGGTATAATTGTATTAAAAGTTAATGAAATTCATATCACACAATAAGCCTGAATTGTAATTATATTATTTCAGTCCGAGAGGGTTCGGAGGTGTGAAACTGATTAAGTCAATAGTGAGGAGGCCGAACATTGTTACCGCTGCGATAGCCAATGCAGAAACTCAGAAGGCCGAAGAACAAGTCGGTAAAGTACTGACAATCAACCTCGGAGGCGGCGAGGAGAAGGCAGTGCCGGTTATCATCACCCCGATGAGAAAAGTGGGCACAGTACAAAGCCCAGACGGCCTATCATGTCTAACCTTGAACAACCAAGCACCTGGGACACAGGTATAATTTGACAAGGTAATAGATTTTACCTACTAATTCTATAGCTATTTGAACGTAGGCTAGAGATGGGTGAAACCACCCTTGAGGAGGGAGGAGGGGATAGTTTGTGAAAAGCACTCACACTAAATATTAAAACTCAATGCATAAAACTTTACTTATTGGAATGGCTACTTGCATTAATTTTAAATTTATATTCATCAGTGAAATAATAAAAAAAGATAACAAAAATATAAAAAGTCCTAAATTGTTCCCATGTTTATCTGTAAAAATAGCGTAAAAGATAAGAGGCGGGGATGGATCTGCCCCATGAGAGTGAAGAAATGGCTACGCCATGGCTTGTCGGCTCATAGCTCATGCCATTGGATATCTTTTACTTATTAGCTTATAATAATGTTTACATGGAGAGAATAGTTGGGGTGATCAGTCAAATAAGACGTTGTCTATACATCTTGATAGACTTTACAACATCTAACTATTCTATTCACAATATCTTAATTTTACTGTTTATTTCCATTTCTTATGTAACTTCATATTTTTCTGTTTTTACATTTTATTCTAAGATTCTCATTTTAATACTTGTCACCTTTTTTTTTTTTTTCATTATGTTTACTTCATCATTCCACACTTTGTACCGCTTATTATCATTTATTTCTTTGTTCTTACTATTGTCGTTATTCTAACAACTGAATTTTACTTTAATTTTTTTTACCTACACTACTTATGTTTCTCATACCTTGCTATCTGGTTCTTTTCTTAGCCCTGATGAAGGCCTGAACTTCAGGTCGAAACGTCGGCTAATGTCAAAATAAATAGTATCATTTATTTTTGCCTTCTTATTTGACTGATCACCCCAACTATTCTTCTCTCTATTATTCACGACAGTCAACCATTTACCAATTATGAATAATATTTACAGCTTTGAAACTTTCATCCAAGAAATATCTTTCCCTTTTTTCTCTCTCACTTTGTTGTCTCTGAATTAAAATATTCTTTTTAAAATTTATTTTATTAGCTTTTAGAATCAAGTAGTGGGTCACCCATCTCTGGTATAGACTATGAGCTTATTTTATAAGTTTATTTCAAATATGTCTTCTATTAAAATAAAATAAAATCCTTAGCAAGAATCATTAAGAGTAATTGAACTGGACTAAAGATTAATATTAAGCTGGGAAAAAATAAAGACATGAGAATCTCAAAGCTCCATGGTATGTCTCCAATATTACTTTACATAAAGAACTTCACAGTTAACGACCGCATACAGACACTCTATAAAAGATTTCACAATAATTTACATGGACATTTTGCACATTCATTGAAGGTACGGACGCAATTAACATGCTCTATAACATTTTTATTGGGTATTCTTCTTCACACCTATTAATTAATGTCTTACATTATTCTTGCTCAAAGGTTGTCAATATTTTTGACATGTGTGGATATTTCTTTCGTTTTTTTTTTCTCCACTGCAATAAACCTACGTAAGAGGCATATATTCCGCAAAAAATAAAAAATAAATAGAAAAGTGCATACATCATACAAAAACATCACATCGATGTTTGAAAACTTTTTTTATAAATAAATTGATACAAAATATATTGTTGTAACAGATTTAATTAATATGTAGAAGTTATTAATAGTGTTAACATCTAAAAAATTTGAACCCAAGTAATACTTACAATATATTATAACTTAACATATTTATTGAGAGATATTACAGTCTGTCCCAAGTAAGGACATTTATAATAGTGTTCAAAGAGCACATTCACAACAATATATTATAGAAGAAAAAGAAAGTAGGTTAAATGAATAAAGAAATAAAGAAAACATAAAGAAATTAAGTTTTAAATAACAATAATGTTACAGCTTTAATTACAAATAACAATTATTACTAAGATTTAAACAAATCTAATGATACCTATATTTTTCAGGTATTACATTTAAAAATTCTCTCATTTTGATGTGATCATCAGTGATTGTGGCTTTCGTCATAGACATTTTTATTTAATTTAATTTTTCTGTTTTTTTTTTTTTAGAAGAAAAAAAAATCAGTTTTGGATAGTAAAATTTTAAAATCAATATTATGCTATATTCAGGGTGGTGACCAACCTGGACAACCTGAAAAAGTCAGGGAATTTTTTTAGTACATAATTTTTTTTTTAAATTGTAAATAAATGTACAGTGGATATCATTAATGACCTTGATGGGGTAAACTTTGTCGTTATAAATGACCACGGTCTCTATATTCATCCACCTTTGATTGTCAATAACAACACTGGTCATTATATTGAAATAAAACAAGGATAGGTAATGAATAAGATTTAATCAAAATGGACTTAAAACAGTCCTTTTTTGAAAAGAAGAACATATCTATACTATTTGTTATATATACATGTGGGTCAAGATCTGGCTGCCAAGCACTCATTCGTTCAAGCCATGGTGTTCTTTAAAAGAGCTTTTATTGAGCAGAAATTACGAAGTTGGTGTCATATGAATAATTATTATGCTGTTTATACAAGGTGTCTCAAAATTAATCCAAGATATAAATTAAATATAAAACAATTTTTTCTTCTTTTATTTCCTTTTTCTTTGTCAATTTAACAGCTGATAGTTTAGGGTTAATAAAAATGTTGCATCATACAAGTGAACAACGTGTTTTCATTGTTGAAAAATATTTTTAAAATAATGAAAGGCAACAGTTCGAAAATTTCATACAAGATATGGTCAGAATTGTGATTTAACTATATCAGCTGTGAAGAGAGTGGTTGAGAAAGTCAAGCAGACTGAATCTATTGATGTTAAAACACAAGCCGCTAAAGTGTCAATATCGAAGCAAGACGAGTGGCCACAAGACTTTCATTATTTTTAAATGAAAATATATTGGTCAACATCACTGAGTGTTTAACATCACCAACGGATCCTGTCTGCTAGACTCTCTCAACCACTCTCTTCATAGTTGATGAAGTTTAAATCACTATTCCGACCTTATTTTGTACAAAATTTTCGAAGTGTGGCCGCAAGGCTTTCATTGTTTTAAAAAAATTGTTAACAATTAAAATACATTGTTCGTTCGTATGATGCTCCATTTGTATTAACCCTAAACTATCAGCTGTTAAATTGACAAAAAAAAAAAAGGAAATAAAAGAAAAAAAGAACTGCGTTTTGTATTTAATTTAAATAGCATTCATTTTGGAACACCCTATAGTTATAAAAAAACTAAATTACTTATGATTAACTACATTAACGTTGTTAGAATCCTCCATAGCTCACTTTATTTTATAACAGAGAAAATAAGAGCTTTATATATCAAGCATCAACTTTTACCCCCTCTTAGTTTATGAAAATAAAATATAAAAATAAATTACTAAATGTTTAGTTTTCTAAAATAAAAATTCCTAATCAAGCTTATAAAATGCTTCCTATAAAATGTTTTTTTTTTTTTTTTTTTTTTTTTACTGAAATAATTTTGTAATCAATTTTCTAATAAATTTAGTTATGAATTTTTAATATTTGGGTCCTCAGGCATATTGGTTAGGGAAAACTATCATTAAATAGAGAAATGTCAAGGAATTTTACTTTAACTGTCTGGTAGCCACCCTGTATATTGAAATAAAACTATCAAACACAAATATCAATATATCATCCTTGTTTTGACTCGGTTTTCCTGAACCATTGTGCTCCGTTGTTTGACACATCGTCCTGGAATCCGCTCAAAACTGTTTCCAAGACTGATTTATTATTTTAATTTGATGGTTAAATTAGAAAGAGCAATTACTCTTTTTTTTTTTTTTAGGTTAGAGTCCTGTACATGGATGGTAAAGTGGCTCTTTTATCAAAGAAGAAAGGTGAGGAAGAATCTGCTGATTGCAGAATTTAGCTCTCAGTTGTTTCAAGTTGCAATTGTCTGCATAAAAAAAGCTGGTCTATTTCTATTAATATCAGTATTTACTTTCGTATTTCATACGTCTCATTTATGAGAAATCAGATTTATAATTTTATAACAAAATATAATAAAGAAAATATTTGATAAGAATAATTTTTTTTTTTTGTATGCTTGATCGCTTATAAGCCATTCACCATTTAAGGAGGACTTACAACTTACAATGTTAGGTAATAAGACAATTTAAAAGAATTTTACAACATTAATATGAATTAATTCTGACAGCGGATCTTTGCTATTGGGTTTAATTGATGACAAATTTAGTCATTTACCTCTATTTTGTTTTTTGTATACAGTCAATTAGTTTATTATTCATGAAAAACTTAGTAAATCCTGACAGCGTATTTTGTAAGTAGCAATAGACATTCAGATTTTGGGTACACTCTCCATTGAGAAGGTCACGAACTCATTCCTCAGCAATCAGGTAAGAGATAAGAAATTTGTGAAAATTTATGGAAAAATTCTTCTGATATGAGACTCCTGCCTCATCAACCATATAGTCCAGACCTCATACCATTGGATTAATACTTATTTAGATCCATCTTTAAGGGAAAAAAATTGATAATTTTGCAGAAGTTGAAATTGCAATCCAGAAGTTCTTTGACAGCCATCCCAAAGAATGGTATCGAGCGATTGCCTAGCAGATGGATAATTAATACAAAAAAAACACCTAAAGTTTATGATAACTCATAAAACGTCCAAAAATAAAATAACTTAAAACGTCCAAATGAGACAACTGAAAAATTATCAAGTACCTACCAGGTGTGTAAATTTGAAAACATATTTATTTTTTTTTAAATATACTAGTTTATTGAATAAAAATATTTTGCTTAAAATATGGTCCATCGCTGGACATATATTTTTCCCATCCGAGGCAATTTATTAATGCCGTGCCAGAAAAACTGCTGCTCTTTAGTGGCAAATGTCATCAAGCTGTTTTCATAAAAAGTGAAGCACTGAGCAAGTGTTTGCCCCATCATTTGTACATAAATAGTAGTTAGCTACATGTGTTAATATTTCTGAACTGAACGCCTCAATTGTTTCTTTCATTGGTTTTGTTGTATATGATGGTGTATTATCTACAAAATAATTTTATAAGGTCTTTTTTTACATTTTTCAACAATATTCTCTTCAAATTGATCATTTATTGTCTATATTATTCAGTATTATTGGTTTCAACAGATCAGACCCATATTCTAAGTTCTTCATTTTTCATTTCAAAATCACCTCTTTTGAATTTTTTAAACCAGTCAAAGCTCTATGAATTAAAAAGAGTACTCACTGTAAGCTTCGACAAGCATGTGATTCTGCAGCAGTTTACTTTAAATGGCATCAGAAAACTAATGCTGTCTCCAAATATTAGTTTGTAGGCACAAAAAATCAACATCTTCAACAAAATTAAAACAATGCCGTTCTGTTATACGTACCTTGTACAGTTGTAAGTTGAAAATATTTGCCAGTTAGTGAAGAAACAAAATGGTGCAAATAATGAACAAGTTCTATTTTGTCATTCCAAACCTAGTAAATGTCATAGTAATAATAATAATAATACCGATTCTGTAGCACCACTATAAATCATTCATATTAAAGTTTTTATAAGGAAGAAGATATGATAGTAAATGAGATTAATAATAATAATAAAAGGCTTAGCAAAACCGGAAGGTTTGATGCCGACACAACAATTACATACTTCCCTCTACTGGTTGCCATTCAAACCCAGCTCTTTTAGATTAGCTTAACGCAATCTTCTCACCTTCGCTTCGGCCTACCCCTTGGACGTTGACCAGTCGGTACAACAAATATTAATCTTTTAGAAGTTCGTTACTAAGTCCAATAATTTTATAAGCTCATTTAATGTAACCACCTCAATTACATTAACCAGATACAGTTCATGCAAATTGTCTAACTGTCTAAACTCGGTTTAACATCCTTCTTCGGCCCGAATATTCCACACAATACTTTATTTTTAAAAACCTTAATACGTAGCTCATCCCTTAATGTAAGCGGCAACATTTCGCATCCATAAAGAACCGTAGGTTGGATAATGATTTTATAGATTCTAATTTTTAAGTTCCGGGGCAGGAGATGTGCGAGCTAAGTAATATTGTCAGAGAAAAATAACTAGCCTAACTTTAATCTCTTCAATTTATTTTTTTCTAGTTATCGTAGACCATAGATCACTAAACTTCTCTACGTGTTCAAACATATTACCTTCTATATCGATATCACCGGCATTAATGCCATTTTTACAGTTAACGATATATTTTATCTTGTTTATTTATTTCGAGCCCTAGTTCTTTTATGACTTTCATAAATGTTGTTTTATTGTGTGACGTAGCATTGAAAACCCTACATATTTTTAGTTCACCATGCATCACAAATAGTCATGGATCTCCATAAGTAGGAAATGAGATTACCATGATTAATTAAAAATATGATTAAATCTAATGAAGTTAAAATATATTAAAAAAAGGAATATCAATCCAAAAACACAAACATAATTTATTAAATAAAACAAACAGGGAATTTCAAAATGTAAAATATATTACCTAATAATCCAGGTTACAAATACTAGAATTCAAACAAAGAAAATATAAGTTTAACACATAAAAGTTTTTACATACATGATATAAACCTCAATGAGATATTAATGTAATAGTATAAACGTTTAATAAATATAAAACATTAATTGAAAAAAAAAATGAATAAATATTTAATTTCATAAGTAAATTTAACAGAACAAATTTAATCCCACATTATCCATTACAGGTAATGGAGGGAGCACAGTATAAATTATTCTAATGCATCGACAATTGAATTCTATGTCGAAAAAATGACAAAAAAAGAATTTTTTTACATAAATGTTATCGAAAAAAACAAAAATTGAACAATATGGTTCAACACTAATAACCAAAATTAACATAACATTGAATTCTAGATTATTTTAAATAATATAAAACGTGTCTTAAGTTTATTTATTTTATAAAAACAAAAATTTAGTTTTAAATTTAAAAACAATATAAAAAATAATAAAATTAAACGGTAAAAAGCTAAACTTTATATTTATTTCAACATGAAAAATATATATGGGTTTTATATATGTAAGTTTGAATAAAAAAAGTAAAATAACAGACAAACAAAAATAATTCACCATCCTAATTGGCGGATCATTAAAACAGCTGCAGCTCTCTTGGCTTCCTTCTGTGTGTCGCCAAATGCTAGAAAAAAAAAAATTATAATGCAGAGAAAATCAGCACCTTAAAGCATAAGACTTCGGTAGTTTAACCGAATTAGCAGCATGAGAGTGGTAATAAATTAAAACTCGCATTATGTTTATCCCAAATACCTACGATTTCACTCATAAAATATCAACATATTGTAATATACACCTTTATTGGAAGTTGGTAAAAATGGTTTAGTAAATTAATGTTGAACAGTTAAAAGACAAGTTAATCTAGTTCTGCTAAGATAAATGGATGATTAAATTTGAAAAATAGTTTCACTAGTTAAGGAATGGCTGCTAGGGAAGGAATAAAGATGTTGTTTGGCTGGGACACCAGCTTTTGTTTGTCTGATTTGTTTATCGGGGCACTAGTTTTTTGGAATTACAAGAGAGAGGATTTCCCGGAGAGCTTGAGTAGATGAAAGTGTTAACATTTTGGAAGGTGTGTTTGGCAGAACAAAGGAAAGTGTTAGAATACAAATGAATTCAGTGCTACAAAGGAAGAAATAGTGCATATAGAAAAAATCTGGTGCGGTGGCGCATCACACAACTTAAATACCCACTTCTTAACAGAAATAATTTTTTTCAAACAAAGGAGAAGTGAAATTAAAAATTATAAATGCTAGATTGATTTATATTTCATTGTGGGTATTTTTATTTGTATAAGTACTCATATGTATAAAAATTTTAATATTTATATAGCTGTAATCTATACAATTAAATATTAAATAGTACCAACAATAGCATTTATGAAAACCGCATATGTATATTTACATAATATTGTCGCAGTCCTTATTATATTAAGCTTATGTTATGTATGGAAGCTTCATCTAATCTTTCGATCGAATTCCTTTGGTTCCTGAATTACAACCATTCTCCGTTACTATCTCTAATATCTCCTTTAATTATTTATCGAATTCTTTCATATTTAACAATCTTTTATATTATAGATTAATAGATTAATTTTAAAATCAGTGTTTAGTGTAGTTAATTTTAGTTCATCTAAGTGCTTTGACCTGATTGTCAGTATCCCATAACGTGAGATAAAATAATTGTACATTTCATTTTAATATATCAAGAATCTTAAAATTTTATTTTTATTTTTACGTTTTAATTATGGAATTATAGCTAAAATATGAATTGATTTCCCAGGACTTATATAATTAGTTAAAAAATCAGAGATATTACAATATATTAAAAGAATGTATAATCATATTTTAATTTATGTATACTGCAGTAAATATGTTATACGTAATGTCAGAGAGCTAAAGAAAGAATGACATGTTTTAGCTTAGAGCTGTACGACTTCACTCTTGGGCTGCCAATTGATGACGGTCAAACTACAACAATTTATTTATTCTTAGTCACTACGGTCCTGTCAGAACCTGGGCCTCTCTCATGATCCTTCGCCACTCTCCTTTATCTCGAGCGAGCCTCAAAATGTAGGCGTAGGGAAGTGGCGGCCCCATTGCCCGGTAATTATACTGCAATCAGCCACTGGTCCTCCAGGTTGGGGGAACAGTACACTGACACTCATGCAGTACACTGAACATAAGATCATTCACAGTACACACCCTAGGGTTATCTTCCCTGGGTAGCCGCCCCGGACGGGAGAGCAAGTCAGGATGCTCTGAGGAGGCAGCCTCTTCACCGGACTCGGGGACAGAGGGCCAACAACCCACTTCCCTTAAATATCTCATGTTACGAATCTCTTAAGAAAACTCTGGACTGTCAAACTATAACAAACAATATTTTATCCGACTGATCAAACATATAGCAATGGGGTACTAACTGATCTAGCTATTACGCTTTACAAGATTAAGAATTATGATCAAAAACTTTAACAAACACATTTGATAGAAAAAAACATAATTGTGAAAGATTGATTGATTGATTCTATATTGTCTTGTTTCATGCCGATTTAAGTACAATAGTGGTTATATTTTTAGCTTGACAATTTGTAAGATGCTCTATTCATAATATAATTTACAATTGAATTTCAAAGTTGGTTATTAAAATAGGACAATATGTAATAGGATGTATAAGATTATATGCAGATAGAAACAGAAAAAAAAAAGAGATTATATGCAGATAGAAACAGAAAAAAAAAAAGAGATTATAGGTGAGATTAAAGAAATGAGAAGCGGAAAAATTAAAACAAAATGAAATAAATAAATGAAATTAAAAGGGAAGAGAGTAATTGTATGAAATTTGAAATCTTTATGATAATCTTAACTACCAGAAGCTGGTTGAGCTCTCTCGCCGTTTCTACATTGTAGAAAGTGTTCTTCAAAATCTCTTTTGTAAGCCGGCAACCTATCACAACGTACCTCTAAAAATTCATTTCTTATTTCTTCAGAACCCCTACATTCCGGAATTTTTCTTGCGAAGTGCATCAAGTTGAGTATCCAATAATCACTTAATTCGAAAGCAGCCTGGCGTATTTATATTAATGGAGTGATATGGTCTTTCTTTTTAGTGCAGAATATGAAACTGACAAGCTGTGTTAAGATCTTTCTGAATTCTGATCCAAATCCTACATATCGATGTAGACTGGGTCATAATATAATACCAGAGGGAGGATTAGAACAGACACTATTTTCTTCTTAACTAAAGAGGATTTCGGACATGTTCGCTAAATATCTAAATAAATTGAAATCCAGTTCAGCTCTGTCATGTGAAATATTAACAGTTATTTCTCTGTTGACATTGTTCTATATTTTTGGTATCACTAAGTTCTGAAGACTGTTTTCCCTCAGCTTACATCCATAAACTGATTCCTAACAAATACCTTTCATCACATTCCTTCACTCTATTCCTTTTTTTTACCAACCTTTATGAAATTATGAGAACATGAAGTATTGAGACCTTCTGAAGACTGTAAACTATCTATTATATCACAATCATTAACCTTTTTGTATCTAACCTAAAACATATATTTTGTTTTATTTACATGTAAAATATTAATTATAATTACATTTTACAATTGACATACCTTCGGTGTTACTATCGACAAGTGTGCAAACAGCTCTTATGTGACCTCCTTCTTGGTAGAAATTATATGATGGCGGATCACAGCAGAAATGCATACATGCCTCCTGCAAATAGCCGATTGGGTTCACTTCTTTGAGACAGATTTTTCTAAAAAAAAAAATATTATATTTTCAAAGTTTTAAGCAACTGTATTAAAAAAATTCTTTTAAAACTAAATAAATAAAAATACAATAGGATTCCAATAAAAAAAAAAACATCAACAATATTAAGTCATAATAATCAAGATCCTATCATTTCCAAACAAAAAATATAAATAGAATTTTATACGAAATATTTTGTCAGCTATATATATTTTTCAGAAGTACAAATTGATTTATATAAGCACGGGGTCACAGTGGTCGAGGGAATTATGGCGCCTGCAAAAATGTTGTAATAAGTTTTCAAATCGTTCGCAGGAATTAATAATATATACACACACACACACACAAAAAGATAATTAATAATAAATTAAAATAATTAAGTGCATACCCTACTCGACTATTTAGACCACTACGGCACGGGTTGGATTCCCGCATTGAGACTATAACATCCTCACCCTAAGATTCATAGGGAGGTGAGTGATCCCTGTTTCTTAAACCATAGCTCCTGGTCCTCCAGGTTGAGGGTTGAGTGTAGAACTGATAATTCCCTATCCCATAAAAAACTGGGTAGAAGATTGAAGCAAAAGATTGCCAAACATCCTGCAGTAAAGCTCTTGCTGAAGGGGAAGTGAAATGTGATCGCGTCCGGTTAGTAAACCACGTGCTTCCTAGATATCTCGAAGAAGAGAGAACAAATCGATCACTATTACGGTCGCCTACAACAGCCCCAAGCTGCTGAAGAGGACTCATGACTTAAAAATTCAAAGTCAACAGGCATAAGAAAAAAAAAAAATTGATATAAGTTAAACTAGTTGGCCCGTGCGAATAATTCACAGAATATTTGGTTTAGTGAAGAAATAGCAAAACAATATGGAATTAAGTAGTTCCTATGTATTATGTACGGAAGGAATTAATATTTTTTCCTTGGTCGATTACAACATTCCATTAAACATAATAGACCAAAATATTTGTACAAATTTCTTTGCTAGAACCTATTTTTAAACGCTGACTGGAAAGATAATAAAAGTAATAAAGACAAAATAATTCCCCCGATCATGACATTTTCTAAATTATTACAAAAAATAAAATGTAAGTACAACCAAATGTCTATAAGAAATAATAAAGTTAATATATCAGCCAGGAAAAAAAGTGTAGTATACTATTCTATTCCTAAATGCAATATCTTTAAACAGGAAGACAATATTAAGTATACCAAAACTAATGGACTGCATCTTTGTTAATAATTGTCCGATTTTTACAATTTTTGTTTTGTAGGTAATTTAGTAATCTTCCAATTTATCATACAATCTAGAAAAAAATGCATAATTTTTGAGATTTAAATGGGATAGGAATATTTTCCCCATGTGAAGGAGAAGAATTTGTTTAAAATGTGTGGTCAATCATTGGCTTTGATGAAGAATTGACAAAGTTATAGCGTACCGACAAAAAAAAAACACCTTTTAGAATTAAGGTATAGGATACATTTATTAATAACTTCAAACCATCATAATTTAATTTGAATATATTTTTATGACATTTTTTTTTTTGTTGACCCAAGATTTCCGATGAAGTCATATGCTGATTATGAAATAATAAAGATCTTAGGTAGATATAGTAATAACTAAAAAAACATTATTTTCATTTCCAATATTAAACTGTCTCATTCAAACACATAGTTAATTTTAATAATAAAAAAATAAAACAAAAGTAACAATCGTTTTAAATTAACTTAAGAAGTAAAGTAGCTCAGTGAGTTAAGCTTTGTGCTGCTAAACTCAAGGTTCCGGTTTCAAATCTGGCTGATGTCAAGTAATTTTTCATCAGCATGGATCAACCCTGGGGTAGAGATCCTCCTAGGGCACACCCAGTCTCTACAAAGTGGATACTCTTAATTAAATAATTAATTAAGTGGAAAACGTGGTGGTTGAGCATGATCCTGGCCCGATTATCTCCTTAAACAACCATTGGTAATTAAACAATACTTCCTTACAAAGTCAAAGTACTGAACCAAAGACCTTCATGGATTGTAGAGCTAGAGGATTTTTTTTTTTTTTTATGAACTTATTTAATAAAAATAGTAAGATAGTGAAGTACTTAAAATGAAATACTAAAAATGGTTGTAATTTAATCAATTTTTAACATAAAACCCCAAAAGGCAAGAAATACTTGCAGGTTAAAAAAAAGTTAAGACAATCATCCAAAATAAAATATAGCATATCTAAAATTGTGCTGCTAACAACCATATATCCAGAAAACTTGCTAAATTTAGTAGTTACTTTCAAATAATCAAGGTTATAATTTTCCTCTACATGGATCACTTCTTTATCAATATGTCTGGTTTTTATTCCAACTTTTTATTTTTATCTTCCAACTATTATTTGCACCTTATGACAACCAGCAGATGGTCCAATTAAAGTAACAAAACTTACATATGAAACACAAGGATTTTATTAAAACTTGAAATTAAAATATGCACACATAAACATCATGCATTTATCAGTTATCATTGTTTGTTTGCTATTAGTATGGTTCTTAACGAACATATAACACTCAGTTTAACATATAATAAAATAAGTTTAGAGAAATAATGGATATTTTCTATATTACCTTCCTAATGTCTGCATTCCATCAGTCAACATCCCAATGGGCCTAAACAGAATAAATTGAAAATTAAAACAATGCTGCACATATACAATAAATTTTCAAAATAATCCAAATTTACTGAGTTTATATAAATCTTAGTAGATAGCTCTACTTATTGAATTTAAAGTTTTGATAATAACAAATCATTTCTTAAAATCTCTTGAATAATACATAATGGTTAGTAGTACAAGATCAGGTGGCTGAAAGAATTTTAATAAAATCAGGTGCGGTGTGTGCATCACACAATTTTCACTTTTCATTTAACAATCTTAGAGTAGATAGGTATTTTCTTAAAGAAAACCGATTGTACAACTTCATTTAAAACAATTAATTACCATGTTTTTTACACCCATTGAATAAGTTAAATTTATACATTGGCATCAATTTTTCCATTTATGACTTAGGTTCTGTTTTCAAAGGTAAGTGAAAACAAAAATGCAGGAAGTATGAATAGATTCAATATATGATTTGATTTAGTACCGCCCAAAGAGGTTTTAAAATCAACTAAACAATAAGAAGTTACCTTTTCCTTTTCTTCTTCCTCTTGGATGTCACATCATTCAACTCGACGACTTTTATTTCATCGCTATAGCAACAAAAACATAACGAATAAGTCTTATTTACAATTAAACAACAATAATTTAAATAAAAGCATGATCAGATCTTAAAACAATTAATCAATACAAAATACAGTTACCTAGAAGAGTCTTGATTAACTTGTTGTGTTTCATCGGTCATATCAATTGATGTTCTTCTCAACCTTTCACTGAGATATTCAGAAATTTCTTCAATTAAATCCTAACAGAACATTACAAATTTAGGTACAGTAATATTAAATTAAATTAAATTATTAGCTGATATTAGACTAATTTTTTGAATAACGGGTTCTGTATAATTGATAATCTCTGTATAATTATTTATTTTATAGCTTAATTGTGAGAAGCTGTTTTAAAATTAAAAAAGGTAAATGATAAAAGCGATGAATATTGTGAAGGTACACCTTAACTGTCTTCATAAAATAAAATTATAAACAATAAAATTCTTCATAAATAAATAAATAAGGCTAACAGGCATGACAACGGAGGGTAACCTGTGCTGTGTGGGAATGTGCGGATGTTTTCATTTCGAGAGACTCACAGAATGAAACTCAATCCTCTCACTCTGGTTAGAATAGGTTTGGTTGCACCTCTAGAACACGCCACCTCTTTTCCCCCCATATGAAAAAATGGTGGGTAGACGGTCATCCAATAAAAAAATAAATACAGACAGATGTATTCTGGCTGCTAATAGATATTCCTTCGCAGTTCCGGTCTAGAAATCTGTCAAAATCTACAAAGGTCAGAATACAAAAAACTTTGATTCGACCTATTTTAACAAATGGTTCCGAAACCTGGACACTCACAAGCACTCAGGAACTGGAACTGTCCAGATTTGAACGAAAGATCTCGAGCAAAATTTATGAGGCCGCATATGTTAACGAAGACTAGAAAAGAAGGACAAACATGGAGCTAAGAAATCTATACAAGGATTTAGATGTGGTTGATGTGATTAAATTCTCTCGGTTGCGATGGGCAGACCACATCATCGTTAGGATGAATCCAGAGGAAATCCCATTCTAAGTCCAATCGGAGAAACTATTTGGGGCACGGAAGGTTGGAAGCCCTAGGACTGTGTTGCTACCGATGCATTATCGATACTTGGCATTCGCAACTGGAAAGCAACAGCACAAAACAGAAATGAATAGCGGTCAATATTGGAACACCACAAGACTCAGCGTGTGGGTTGTATAGCCATATAATAATAATAAATTTATAAAACTAATCATTATTAAATATATAATTAAAAGACAAATACTCTTAGTTAACGAAATGAATTGGAAAATGTCACACGGAATAATATCTGGATAATAAATAATCAAGAATTCAGTCAAACTACAAAAAATTTACTTTTAAAATGGGATGTATCTCTAATTTAATGTCTAAAATTTAACTAAAAGGTTTTTTTAAATAATGATAATTCTATTTCCAAAATAAATTTTAAATCTAAACATTAATGAAGTAATCATCTATAATAAAATTATTCATGTTGAAATTGACTTAATCATATTAAAGAGGTTTAGCATGAATACTATAAGTAAGTAGATAGTTTTAGATACCTGATCTCCACCGCTATTGTTATTATTATTCTCTTTAACTGGTTTCACAACTGGAGCAGATGATGGGCTGCCTTTAAAACGTCCTTCTCCTTCTTTATACTCGCTATCCGAATTATTCTAGAAAATATAACAACATTCTATTATCCCATTTTATAATACAAATTATCTATTTATCAAGTAATTTGCATTTCAATCATTTTTTTTTATTATTTCTTAATGAAATTAACAACTATATTAAATAAATACATCTAGTAAATTGGAACATAATGGATATAATGAAATGAAAACACTTGCTGAGTAACTACCCAATGGTAGCAATCTAATGATATGTCTACATTAGGAGATCACGGGGCCATCTTCTTTTCAGAAGCCTCGGAGGGTTATCAGGAATTGAAGAGGAAGAAAGGTCAGAACTGAGAGGGTTGGGATGATTCTTAAGTTAATTATGGAAGGATAGGTATCTGGATTGGGCCAGATCTGAAACAAAAGAAACATTAAGGTCATTATGGATGGTTTTATTTGTAACAAAGTAGGGAGCATTGAGGATTTTACGAAGGAGTTTAGATTGTAAGGATTGGATACAAGAGGAATTCGATGGTTTAGTGGAGCCCCATAGCTCAACTCCGTAAGTCCAAATAGGCCTTATTATAGTCAAGTATATGAGTCTTTTGTAATTAATTGGAAGTTTAGAGCGTTTGTCCAATATTGTGCTGAAGTAAACGTCGAGCGGTTTCTTGTCGTTTCAGTCTAGTATGAGGATTCCAAGTTAGTCGTTTGTCCAGGTGGAGTCCTAGGTATCGGATTTGCTCAACAGGGATAAGTGGAGTATTGTTAAAGGAAACTGTAGGACAGGAAGTCGTTGGTTTGCGACAAAGGGTAAAGGTGATTTGATGGGATTTATTAGAGTTTATTTTAATCCTCCAGTTTTGACACCATTCTTCAAGGTTTATGATGTGTGATTGAAGCATTTAGGAAGCAATTGATGGGTCATTATTTACTGATAAGATACATGTGTCATCGGCATATGTGGTGATGACAGTGTTGGGACAGGTAGGGATGTCAGCTGTATAAACTGTATAGAGGATAGGGCCTAGGATACTACCATGAGGAACACCAGCGGATTGGGAATCAATAAAATTAAGTTATATTTTACAATGTAAAAAACATGAGTAGCAAAATACCTCAGAATCAGTTTCAACTTTCAAAATCTTCTGAGAAGGAACATTTTCTCCCTCGGCCTAAAAAAATAATTTGCTCTAATTAATGATAATTTTAAAGTCGTAATTCCAAAAATCTATTTACTGAAATAGATAAATAAATATATTTTTTAAAAGTATATACAACTAATATGAATAATTATATGTCATATCGCAACTGTTAGTGCAAAAGGTCATACGCAAAATTTTTTCATTTTTATTCATTTTGTGCCAAATGTGACATTTTCTAGTCTGTACCTTCTATAAGTAGTCTGCTAATATGGAAAATAACAGAGAGAAATAAAATATGTAATTGTAATAATAAATTATAAAAAAATAATAAGTTTTACACTAAATTTTTACATACAACCTTTTCATTAGCAGTAGCGATATACTTTGTACTTAAAATTCATAAAATAATTCATTCATAAAATAATTTAAATTTATTGAAGTAGAATTAAAAAAACGTATTGGAATTTTAAATGAGTAAAATTGTTGGGTTCAATAAGTTCAACATTATTGAGAGTGTTCCGCTACGGTCTCTTTTCTCAGCTGTACTTTATGAACATTGATTTACAAAAGGTTCTAAAATACTGAAGAGAAGAATAGTTGGGGTGTTCAGTCAAAAAGGAAGGCAAAAATAAATGATAATATTTATTTTTTACATATGCCGACGTTTCGACCTGAAGTTCAGGCCTTCATCAGGGCTAAGAAAATAACCAGATAACAAGGTATGAGAAACATAAGTAATGATGGTAAAAAAGATGATAAAAAAAAAAGAAATATGAAGTTATAAAAGAAATGAAAATAAATAGTAAAATTAAAACATTGAGAATGGAGTAGTTAGATAGAAAATTGAGATATTGTAAAGTCTATCAAGATGTACAGACAATGTATAATATAATAAAGAGTTAAAAACAGAGAAAAGGAATGAAAGGAAGGGGGGAAGAAATTGAGAAAGCTGAAATAAGAAAGAAATAAAAGAAGTACTACCATAAGTAATAAGTATTTTCTTTCTTATTTCAGCTTTCTCAATTTCTTCCCTCCTTCCTTTCATTTCTTTTCTCTGTTTTTAACTCTTTATTATATTATACATTGTCTATACATCTTGATAAACTTTACAATATCTCAATTTTCTATCTAACTACTCCATTCTCAATGTTTTAATTTTACTATTTATTTTCATTTCTTATATAAATTCATATTTCTTTTTTATGTTTTACATTTTATTCTAAGATTCCCATTGTAACACTTTTGTCACCCTTTTTGATTATGCCTACTTCATCATTCCACACTTTGTAACGGTTTTTATTAATTATCTCTTAGTTCTTAGTCATTATTCTAACAATTTCATTTTACTTTATATTTATCTATTTTATTTTTCTAATTTTTTTATTTTCCTTTTTTTTCCTTTTTTTTTATTATCTTTTTTACCATCACTACTTACGTTTCTCATACCTTGTTATCTGGTTATTTTCTTAACCCTGATGAAGGCCTGAACTTCAGGTCGAAACGTCGGCATATGTAAAAAATAAATATTATCATTTATTTTTGCCTTCCTTTTTGACTGAACACCCCAACTATTCTTCTCTTCATTATCCACGACAGTCAACCAATTACCAATTATGGTTCTAAAATACATTTTAAACTAATTGTTGTAGTAGACATCCGCCTGTATTTACTCCTTTAGACGACTTTGTGTGAGGGAATGAGAAGAAATATATAACATATAGGAATGTGAGGTTCCACGATGAATTGTACTCAATTGTGCAACGGACAAATTCATTGAAAAGTCTCATATCGATAAACAATCGATGAAGAAGGAAAAAGGTCAGGTCAGGTAGCAGCAGTTGGCAGAAGGACACCGGGAAGAGGGAGAAAAGGGCCAGTCACTTGAGGCCTGGACACGAACACGAGAAGACGTCATCTGGGAAGAGAGGATTACCACATTGAAGACTTAGAATATCAAGCCTACAGTTATTAAACTTTAATATATTCACTTATATCAGTTGTTAAAATAAATTGCTTTGTTAGACAGGAGTAAATAGTCCTTTTATTTAGTTGTCCTATAGGCCTCACAATTGAAGAATAAACCAGGTGAGTCAATTCATTCAAAGCGTTTACTAAGTCCCACATTTCATATATGTATTCTTATTATTTCTTCTCACACAGTGTCACAAAAGTATTAGGTTCCCGAATTCCCATTAACAGTTAAACACCCTCAAAAAGTCTATATCCAGTGCCGGGGTTTTGTTTTAATATTCAGGAGTGTAAATAACCTAGTTCCCCAATATAAAGTGGAAGGCTATTCGCCTATTCCCGCCAAAAAAAAGGTCTTTAACAATTAACTTTATTTGGTTATTTACATTGTGTTCTCTAAATATTTTTATTTATAGATAACAGAGAGAGAGAAAAAAATAGAAAGATATTTCTTGGCTAAAAATTTTAAAGCATTAAACACTATTGTAAGCTAAATGTATAAGAAACTGAATGGTATGAGCTAAACGCTGGTAGCCCATGATGAAAATGTATCTCCATTCCTATGAAAACTACCACCACTTTAATTTAACGCTGCATTTTACAAAATGTATCAGAAAAATTGTAGAATTTTTGTTTTCATTGTTTATAAATTAATCTTCACCGATGAATAAAAATTGAAAATTCATACATGTACTCAATTATCAGACACATACTTGAACATGATTAGAGAATATTAGGAACACTTCGTTTTACTCACAGAGCTACTCTACTCCCCTGTTTTTATTGAAATAACTTTTAATGAAAATCTTGCATGGTTTGGACTTCATCTATTAGTTTTTGATCTATTTACTAACTCACAGGCCTTTTATTTTACTATTTATCAAAACCCCTTTTTAATCTCAGAGTCTTTTAATCATATATAGACTAAATATAATAATTATTAAAAAACCTCACAAAAATATGAATGACCTAAATAAGGTTATTTATCATTAATTGAACTATTTATTAGCACAATCATTTATTAATACAGCAATCTAAAGTGATCAAGGTCGGAATGGTATTTAAAAAAAAATTCAAAAGGCAACATATTTTAAAGAATTCTCAATTTTTTCTATTCAATACTACATGTATTCCTATTATACTCCTATTCCTATACTACATGTATAATAGGTTATTATAATTAAAAGATGATAAAAACTTACCTCATCCTCGCAATTCATGGTAACTTTAACATTACTATCAACAGTGTCACTACAACTAAGATCTTCAAACGAACTTCTCTGAAAATGCGTAATAATAGATAAAAAAGTAATAAAAAATTAATTATAAAAATAATTTTTAGATCAGGTTTTTTTTACAAATGACAGTCTCAATAATTTATATTATTTTATTTCATACCTTATACCCAGAAAAGCTTTTACAGAGGCTATTATTGGTAAAAAATCATGACCTTTGAAGAATATAGAACAACCTAATATTATTAAATAATTTATATTTTTCTCAGAATAACAGTCCCTGGTGCAGACCTCGTTTTTTATCAAATTATTAACATCCAGCTGAAACTTTGTAAATAGCTTCATCTCATTGTAACCTACAGATATTTTATTTACGAAAATTCTTGGGAATGGGGCCTGTTTTAATCTGGAGGTCGGCAAACTTTGTCTATTTAATTAGGTACTAAAAACTCGTAAATATTCATTTGCTTTCCACTTTAATCGTAAGATAACTTTTGCACAAAGTTGATAAAAAAGGTAGCCTTAAAAAAATTAAGCCGTTTTACGTGACCTACACCCCAAATTATTAAAGTAATGAGGTTATATAGGCTCAATATTTTTGAAGGTCATCTTTTTTCTCGCTTTGTGCTCAAGTTATCTTATGATTAAATTTGAAAGCAAATGGGTATTTACGAGGTTTTAATACCTAATTAAATAGACAAAGTTTACCGACCTCTAGATTGAAAATGCCCCAATTTCAAGATTTTTCGTAAATATAATATCTGTGAGTTACGATGAGATGGAGCAACTGCTAAATAGTGCAAAAAATAAATTAAAAGGAAAATTAAATAATATTCCAATAACTTACAGTGCTCTCATCTTCAGTTTCGCCTTCACTACTGTCCTGCCATTTAACCTTCTTCTTTGCCCTTTTCAAGAAAGGTGGCGGAGTCATCCTCGGTCTATCTCTAAAGCACGAGCGTTTCTTGGGAATACTCTCATAGTGTACACTGACTATTCCTGTCTCGGAAACAAATCTTCTCGGGCCGAGATCATTATCACCTAAATAGTTCGGGCGTGACAACTTTCTCATCACGTTTATTGCAGCTTGATGTTTTGCCGTTTTCTTTGAAAATGCTCTGCCCTCTCCTGAAATATAGAGCATTACAGATTTCCGACTAAGATGTTGATAGATTTTAAAATGGAATATTTATTTTTATTTAAATAGGTTCCCCATTAAGTCATGTGGCTGTTAAAGTGGAAATATTCTTTCATATTTTCAACTAATATAATGTTTGTTCTTTAAATTTTTACTAAATCCTTATTTTTCTTTTTAATTTCACTATCACATTATTCCAATAACTTAAATATTTAGCCAAAAGATCACATAATAACCAATTCTGAAATAAGCATATTTACATTCTATTTACAAACAAGATAGAAGTGAAAGAGATTATATTTAACAGAATTTAAAATAGAATACAATTTTGTTAAAGACAGAAATATACAAAATTATATGTTAATAAATTGATAATAACTGTTTCCTTACCAATAAAATTCTCAACGGTAGCAATACAACCATACTCTATTCCCACCGTCTGGGGTATCTCATAAAATTCAAAAGTAGGTATAATGCTTTGCATGGAACAGTACTCATATAGGACGGTCACAGGATGCTTTCTAGGATCCAAAGGCTAAAAATATAATTTATAACGAATCCATTTTCATGTAATAAGAAAAATAAATGGACATCGTATCGTCAGTTTGGAAGAAGATTAGGACAGTATTTTTCATAAATTGAATTAAATTCTGTATATAGAAAGATGTAGCAAAAACTATTTCATATTTGTTCCAGCATGTGCATGATACAAGAATCAGCCATCTCATAACCTCAGTTCTCAAATCGTATTACAATATTAATCAGGTTAGTTAAGTGAATCCCATCTTAGAAGAAAATGTATTAATAAATATATCCATCTCTAAAGTATTTATATATTAAGCCAAACCACCATACATATTCAGCTATATTATTTTTACATGGCAATATGTCCCATAATGAAGTTAACTATTCATTCATTTTTTTTTTTTTCAAAATCCATATTAAACTCCATTTCTTTCATAAAAAATTTATAAATTTTTCAGAAATTTCAAACCTCATTAAGAAAAATAAAGTTTGTGGTAGTCCCTCTCTTCCAAACATACGATATTTCTTTATTACAAAAGAGCATATTGAAATGTATTATCACCTTAATTCCACAAAATTGAAAGATATTTATAATTAGGAAAACATTGAATTTAAGGCATATTATGTTTTTTTTTAAATAAGTATAGAGTATAAATGATTGATTATAGATATATAGCAAAAAAAAAAAAAAATCAAAATTTGCTGAGCTCTCAGAACATTAAAAAAATATATTATTTACTGTTCTGCTATTAAAAGTAGTTCCTCAGAATGAATGAACTCATTCATCCAAAAACAGATCAATTAATAAGAAATCTAATATATTTTAATTTCTTAATAAGAAAAGTGAAAAATCAAAACTAACGTTTTAAAATTTATAATATAAAAGTAATAAAAACATTTAGTTTGGACCATAAAGTTAATTTTTCAGTATGATTAAATATAAAAATCTGGTGCGCGCATCATACAACTTTCACTTACCAGCCTCTTCCTGGCAGAACAGAAATAAGTATTTTCAGAGAAAGGGGAAGTGAAAGTAAAAATTATAAACACTATATTTATTTACATTTCATTGTGGATATTTTTATTTGTTGTTTGTTTGTTTGTTTCGATGTCTAGGCACAAAACATCCAGGTCATAAGCACCCGATCAACTAAATAACATCACTTAATACTATTTGGATGGTTGGTACAAAAAAAAAAAAAAAAAGTAAATAAAGAAATGGACTGATAGAATAAAATAAATAAGGATAATAATATAATAATAGACATTTATAGGTAATAAGATGTATAAAAATGTATAAATAAATAAACTTTAAAAAATAGCAGTAGCATCAATAAATGTATTGAGATTAATAAACAAATGAATTTAAAATGAAATGAAAAAAATAAATAAATAAATAAAAATAATAATAATAAGAGAAAATAGAATAAAAATAAATAGATAACAAAATTAATAAATAAAAAAATAATAGTAAATCTGCAAAGGATCATTAATTATAAGCCTGTCAAATGTGTTTTTTTAAGTCTTTCACTATTCAGGAACTTGATGACTTTGGTAACGATTTCTTCTTGATTTCCCAGGAATGCTGATATATTCTGGGGTATTCCGAGATCTTTTAATCTTGCGGTGTAAAAAGGGCATTCTTCCAAAATATGTTTTATAGTTAGTGATTGGTTACACTTTTGACATCTGGGGTTAGAATCTTTTGTTATGAGGTGGAGGTGAGTCAGTCTAGTATGTCCGATCCTCAGCCGCATGAGGACGACCTCTTCTCTACGACTGCTGCGTTTGGAGCTGGTCCACGGTTGCACCTCTTTCTTTATTGTTTTTAATTTGCTAGGTGCGCTGTTGTCCCACCGTCTTTGCCATTCTTGGAATATGGTTTCTCTCAGAGGTCGTGCAAGTTCAGATGGTGTCAAAAAAACTTTACCGCGGCCTGGAAGAGTAAGAGCTTCTTTTGCTGCTCTATCAGCCATTTCATTTCCTTTAATTCCTATATGGCCAGGCAACCAGATAAAATGTGCCATTGTTCCAACACCATGAAGCATTTTTATAAGACTTAGAATGCAGTGTATCCCTGGATGGTCTGGATACATGTTATTCATGGCTTTGAGAGTACTAAGGGAATCCAATACCACAACCACATTTGCAAATGGCTTCTTCATGACGTATCGGATACTCATTGCTACAGCGTTAATCTCTGCTGTGTAAACACTACAAAGATGGTGTAATTTATATTTGTAGGTAGGATCAGGAGTGACAAAGGCTGAAGCAGTAGATGTATCTGATTTGGATCCGTCGGTGAATATTAGTGATTATTTCGTGGAATTTTTCTTTGTAATCTGCAGGTAATGTAGTATCTTTGGTGAATTGGGTGAGTTGGAGATTTAATTTAGGTTGTATATAGGTCCAAGGGACTGTTTCTTTTTCTATTTCATGTAATGTTATTTGTTTTAGTTTATTTATAATAAGAGACATTCTTTCTGCCAATGGTAATGTGGTATTCCTTTTTTCTTTAAATCTTTTTGAGAATTTAGATTGAAAAACATATTTATGGGAGGAGTGTGAAGTTTGCGGGTATAATTTAGTAATATAGTTTATTGCAAGTTTCTATCTTCTAAAGTGCAGTGGTGTAAGGCCAGTTTGGACACAAATGCTCAGGGTTGGGCTTGTTCCAAAGGCTCCAGTTGCAAGGCGTATTCCAGTGTGGTGCACGGAGTCGAGCTTGGCTATAGCATTTTTCCGGGCAAAACCGTAGACAAAACTACCATAATCTATTTTTGCGCCGATCAGAGCATGGTATACTTTAATCATGGTAGTTCTGTCTGCTCCCCAGTTAGTTCCGCTAAGTACACTCAGTAGCTGAAGTTTTTTAGTACATTTATCTTTTGAGTGATTTTATGTGGTGTTCCCAGGATAGACGTTTATCAAATAATAATCCCAAGAATCTGCAAGTGTTGACATATGGTAAGATGGCGCCACCTAAAAGAAGTTCTGGCGATTGTGGAGTATTTCGTTTTCTACTATAGTGAATACATTTAGTTTTTTCAGAAGAGAAACAAAGTCCCGATGATTTCGACCAGTTATCAATACGATTAATTTTACGCTTATTTTTATTTGTTTATATACCCTTATATAGACAAATTTTAATTTTTATATCACTGTATTCTATACAATTAAATATTAAATAATACCAACAGTAGCATTTATGAAAACCATATATGTAAAAGTATACAATATTGTATCCCATTATCACACCATGAATGGAATTTAAAATATGACTATTATTGATGCATTCACTGTATAACCTTCTTTTCTTTAGATTGTAATTTACAACTTTCACCAACTCCCAACTGGTTCTTTTAATTTTAAATGGGAGCCTTAATCACATTGCTTCTTTCAAATTTCGCTCGCTTATTTTTCATAAACCCCTATCAGTTGAAGTTGGTGCCTAACTTGACAGTTCAGTCAACTCCATCTATTTCAGAACACATTCAGCCATTCTCGAAATTCCATTTATAGTATGGAAGCAGCTCACGTCAAAGTGGAGCAACGATTAATAAGTATAACCGAGAACAATAGCATAGAATGCTAAAAAATATTGATAAGAAACATTTGGTAGAGTTTCAGGAGAGCAAATAAATTTAAACAATACATGTGATAATGTCAATATACAGTTATGTTAACATGCAACTTGAAGTAAGTAAAACTAACTCACACAGTCAATCATAACTAAATACCAGGATAACATTAACAATTAATAAAGATGATGAAATTTGTAACAAGAAAAACTAAAAGCTAACAAAACAAGTTAGATTCAAATAGGAAAATCACTTACAAAATAAGAGCTAGATCTTGGTCTACGGCATTTTGGTTTGTGATTTCCTTCCCAATGGGGTAAACGAAAGGGTGCCAAGTCAAAACCCCCATAAGCTATACTTGATGATCCACATCCTAAGCAAGGTGTCTCTTCAAGCTAAGGTAAAAAGAGACAATTAACATTTCTCATAGCTGATAACTTCAGGCATAGAACCCTAACCACTAAAGTACATATTGCTGAAATACTTCATAAAATAATGAAAAAAAAAAACAACACAAACTGATTAGTAAAATTGAATAATAAACCAACAAATAATAAAACATAAGTTCATTTAACAGAAATTTGAGTGACAAGCCATTAATATAAAAACAAATAATAGTATCATAAAATAACAAACAAAAATAAATATCAGTTATAGGCAAACCATCGTTTGATGGGCTCAGTAAGCAAACAAAGACGAATTTCCCAAATTATTTAACTATTAGAATAGCAAGAGAGAGAATAAAATGAAAAACCTAAACAAAACACCTTTCAAACAACTTATACCGGAAGCAAACAGTATCGAAGGTTTATTGTGTTGTTGCCAACTCCAAAATATTTTGATGAACAGAAAAATATAATAAAATATTATCAGAATAAATAAATTAAATTAAAAACAATGATAAATTATTTTTTATAAATTAAAATTAAGATTATGCTGTTTAGAGCATAAAGGTTGAATACTCCTTAGAACTTTCAGGATCCATAGAGGCATGAAGGAATTGTCATCAGAAGAGAAATACTTTATTGAAAGTAATGGCGCCCTAATACACAGGATTGCTTTATACGCGTACATAATTATTACATCACATATTTCTATTATTGTTTAGAGTACCAATCGGGCATGGATTAGATCAACTTTGAAGTCGGATAGAATTTTCCATATATTTTTATTTCTGAGCTATTAATCGATATAAGTCCATAACCATTTGATGGGATTCAAATCTGGACTCTGGAGAGGAGTTCTATGTTCATTTGGATAATAACCGTTCGGGCTAAGGATTACTATCCTGGTAAAATGAAAACTCTAGCTACATTAAAATTCTTATTTTATAATTTAATTTGTTATGAAAAAGTATGTTTTTATCCGCATATCTTGTAGTCTTCACAGTCGATGCAATAGACCTCATCAAAGCAGGTGAATTTCTTTTCTCTTAGGAGCCTCATCACCTCGAACTTGACCCTATGGTGCCGGTGTGTTATGAGGAGGGAAATGTTGGGACATTTTCCCAGCACATGGGCTGGTGTTTCAGACTCTCATCCGCATTTCCGACAGAGGGTCCCAACTTCTTTCGAGTGTCCACTGGCTTCTGGGACTCCATGCAAAGGTGGATTAATCGATTTACAATTTAGTTCTACGCAATTTATAATTTAGTACGGGCGTAATATTCTAGCAATTTATCGTCCTAAAATCCCTACCATACTCTTCTACGTAAACGTACTAATGGCCGAAAATTTGAACCAAAGGATCTCTGAATTGAAAAATGTACCTGATTAAAATAATTTCGATACTATAGGAAAATGAAAATGAAATCAATTATCTATCAAAGAAATTTGAATTGATTTCAAATAAGGGGAAAAGATGTAATATTTTTAACAGTAAAAAAAATTAAAAACGAGAGCAACAGAGCTCCCTCGCTCAGGTCATATTTTCATTTCATTTTTATGTGGATAAAAGTCTAAAATCAACTGATTTAGCTACTGAATATCTTTTTAATGTTATGTTTTTGAATATTTTACAATTTATTGTCCCATTGTCGTGTTCTTAGTGTTCTGAAGTGGATATAAAATGCAGCCAGTAATCCTTCCGATGGCTATTAATACAGATCTAAAATTTATTAATTTTATGATTCATAAAACAATAATATGTTCTTATATTACAAGAAATAAAAGAATACAATAACTGGCATACTTCATGAAGCAGGAGTTTTATTTGTTATTAATGATATGAGTATATTGGATTAAGAACTACCCAGTTCTTGGCTCTTTGGAAATTGTGAAGACGAAGCAAAGGAGAGAGTACTAAGTGGGAATATAATATTAAACGGCCTACAAAACAATCGAAGCCTTCTGGACACTGCAAAATGAGCATAGCTGAAAAAAAGCTACAATGCCGCCGAATTCCAGATAGTGAGTTGATTTCATTAATTGGAAAATTTATATTAAGAGACGAAAAAAGAACTCTAATCTAGTTAATCTAGTTTCATCTTTTCAAACCAATGAATCTTCGAAATCGCAAGAAGTTCAGAAAAGAAGTGATCTAAACACCATGAACTTATAGAGCGTTCCTGAATCAAACCATATCCATATGAAATTTAGTACGTTAAGAATCTTTCATAGACTACTCCAAAATGGAGTCCATGCACTACGTTCGAGCCGCCACTACAGTGGGGGACAAAAAAGTGGATAACCCGTGTAGAGGTGCCAAGAGGTAGATTGCGTCATCCAAATTTTTGACGGGCCGCATTTCGATAGGTTTATGAAATTTCTGATTGAAAAATTTCAAACCAGGAAACAAACGGTATATATAGAAGAAACCTCAGCAAGTGTAATTGTATAAGTGGGCGGAGTGGCCGAATGGGCTAACGCGTTGTGCACAGAACCACCGTCGTCCAGCAACCTGATATATGATAAATGATACAAAAATAGTCATGAGTTTGCGTCCCAGTGCCAAGGCGTCTTTTAAATCCCCGCCCACACCCCCTTGTCCGGGAAAACCCCGTATAGCCTTAACGGCGAGGAAGGGGAGGACCTAAAAAAAAAAAAAAGTGTAATTGTATATGACCTACATTAATTTTATTTCTAAGGTTTTTAAGAAGAGGAGAGCAATATAACGTCTTGAGGAGGGAAAAGGGGAGGATCATGCGCCATCGACCTTTGGGGAGGGGGAGATGGACACCCCTGCTTAAATATATATTCTTTCGTCTTTAATATTGTTAATAGATTTCGTTGATTTGTCAATCGATGAGATATCAATTAAATTGTCCAGAATAAAGGCAATGCTATTACAAATTCTTTGGCCTAATCAATTTGGTGTTAATACTTATTATAATAGACTGTTTTTGTAATTTGAAATTGAATAAATATTACTATTTAGATAGATTGTTTCAATAAAAATAACTAGATTATTAATTTTAAATAGCTATAAACTAAATATTTTATAAGCAAAAAAAGCTTAATTTTATTTGAAACAGAAATATTGCGTGTTCATATTTCTGAAGAACATTTCTTTGTTTTGATGGAAGTGCCTTAATTCAATAACCAGCTTCACAAACTGAGTTAAGTTCTGACTCACGAGTAATGTTTCTTGTTTTCGATTCCCAAACAATACTTAATGGCTAAAATTATATTAGAATCATGATTATTTAGATCTAAAATATAAAATTTTAATATTGACTAACATTTTTTGTTAAAAATCAGTATATTAATTAATAGTTAAGTTGTGTAATGACATTATGTGTTTTAATAAACGACAATAAATATAATGTATTATCAGAGGTGACCACCTCTACCCCCCTCCAAGATAGCGCATGATCCTCCCCTTTTCCTTCCTCAAGACGTTATATTGCTCTCCTCTTCTTAAAAACTTTAGAAATAAAATTACTGTAGGCCATATACAATTACACTTGCTGAGGTTGGTTCTATATATTTCCTTTGTTTCCTGATTTGAACCTTTCAGAAATTGCATAACCCTGTCGAAATGCGCCCACCTCAAAAATTCAAAATTCCGTTAAAGTGGCCCCTTCAAAAATTTAGATGGCGCAATCTGCAACATGAAACCCCCCTCTGCACTAGTAGATCCAGGATTTATTTTTTGGGGGGGGATTCAGCCCGAAAGTTTTTTTTTTCATAAAAATAACGATAATTACTTTGCAAAAAAAGAAAGAAACTAACTACCTATATGAAATTGTGTTTAAATGATTTCTAAAGTCCTTTTAAATGTAATTACACGAACAATAATACTTTGAGAGATAATTTTTTAATATTTTTTTCGATAAAACATGGTTATATTTTCCAATTTTTGGGGAAGAGGCTTCAGCCCGAAAGCTCCCCCCTCCGTAGATCCGCCCGTGCCCCTCTGTATTATATATCTATATTTATTTTATACAAATATTACGGCTAATAGAAAGTTTATTTATAATATTCAGGTCGTTTTTCAATAATAAAATTACGTGTTCATTTTAATACGAAATTAAATGTATTAATAGCTTAATAAAAAAAAAAATGACTTTAAATTATAATTCATTTTTAAATTTGATATAATTTCAAAGAAATTCAATCTCTGTAAATTATTTTTTTTTTTTATAGAATAAATAAATAAAGATAACACATTTCATAATTTTGAAAAGTATTAAAATTAAATATGAAATTATATGTATAATTTTTTTTATGTTGGCATGTTCAAAAAAGTAATCCCTTCTCAAAATTCGTTACAGGGAAGGTTGGTATTCAAATTTTTTTCTCTTCGAAAAATCAGAAATATAATACTTTTGTAATGGTAAAATAATGTAAAATGTATTTTATTCTTTAGGACTGATATTGTTTTAACGTTTGAATAGAAAAAGTAATCAAAATGTAACTTTATTATGGCAGCATTTCATTAGGTTTGGAGCCAAATTCTGTTATAGAGTCCACTGCTCTGGGCCTGTTATCATCCAATTACAGTTTAAGATTTCATATTAATGATTTTAGTTGTTTAATTTTACTAAATATAGTTAGGATTGCAATCTTAGTGGTAAGAATGCCTTGCTTTTACAATTGATAAATTAATATTAATATTTTACATATATATATATATATATATATATATATATATATATATATATATATATATATATATAAATGGATAAACTTGCAGGAAACCTTGTAATGACTTAAATACATGGAAACATTCTAAAGGCAATTCATTTCCTTAAATATACTGTGTATATGTGTGTGTGTGTCTATATATATATATATAGACACACACACACATATACATATATATAATACATATATATATATATATATATATATATATATATATATATATATATATATATATATACGTTTTTTTTTTTTTTTAAGAAAATTAATTGCCCTTAAAATTTTCCATTTATTTAAGTCATTGAATTTTTTCGTGCAAATTGGTTTACTTATCAAACCATCGAAAGTTAATGACATATATCCATATTGTATAATCTTATTATCGTTAATTCCAGTACAATAATACAAACCAAATTTGATCTTAGCATTTCATTTGCATTTAATCAAATAATATCAATTAAAAAAAAAAAAACGAATCGATATGGATTCTTACACACACACACACACACAGTATGTTTCGATTGGTGTAGATAAAAAAAAAATATTATTCATGATGTTTTAGTTTTGAGTTCTAAAGTTTAAAGATTTACAATCCTTATATAATTTTTTCTTTATAGGTTTTTTTTTTCTAAAAAAGGAAGCAGGATATCTTAGTGAGTAAGACACTGCACTCCAATGCTC